ATCGAATTGCAATTCATGATTGTCACTTTGCTTTGGCTCGGTGGCCACGAAAAAGAAACTAAATTCCTTTTTGAATCATAAACGAGAGATTCGAACTCCATCTGCAATGCAAAAAGAATTCAAAGGAGGTATTTTTAGACTTCCCTTCCTCCCTCTAGATTATAGATTATGATAGATTAGATTATCGAAATATCTTGATTGCTTTTCATACGAAAAGCAATATCACACATGCCATGTCCAGCGCATGAGTAATTCATTCTAACCTTTCAAATCCTAATCATTGCATGCGCAACAATTATGGTTAATTGAAGCAATAATGCACCGAGTCCCAGTGAAGTTACAATCATCCACTAAAAACAGAAAACATTTTTTTTCAAAAAAAAAAAAGAAGTTAATAATTGTAACACAGAAGATGAGATGATGCACAGAACAAGATGCAGGTCCATGTAATGTGTTCTTCCATAGTCAAACCCACAATTAGGATATATTGTTGGTATTTTGTCAAACCCACAATTCTATAAAACCAATTACTAGTAAATAGCAAGCAGCACACTCGGGAGTTATATCTTACCTGAATAAAGACGAGTGCAATTTTTCCAAAAATTTGACAAGTAGCTCTTGATTGGATTTGCTGTTACAAAGTCAGATTTGAGACTAAAATTCGAACAAGTATATATATATATATATATATATATATATATATATATATATATATATGCGCGCGCGCGCGCAAGCACGTGCAAAATTAATGTAACATATATTAAGCCGCCCAAGAACGATGGTAGTGTAACAGTTCTTTACGCATTTCTCTAAAGAACAAGAAAGAAGACGAAGCAATTTGTTCTTGTAAACAATTTAAACAACAACAAAATAATAAAACGACCACCGGTTCTCTCGTCGTAATTATTATTAATTGAACTATGTGTGACGATGGTCTTCCGTTCTCAGGCGAAATTTTGGCTCTAATTCTATACGAGTGAGTAACCGTTCTAGCGTCTCAAGGACAAAACGAAACAAGGGCTCCGAGTATGCATATGTCGAAACAGCCAAATGGTGACCCAATCAAGGGCTTGCAAATGATGGTCTAGACAAAACTTTGTCCACCCCGACTTGAGCACGTAAAGCTTTCTCTTGCTCCAAGACTGAAACGCCATCCGGTAATCTTTCCCTGAAGAATCATAGACAGTAACCGGAATTCCAGAGTCTATGTTTTCGTCTTGTTCATTCAACAATGGCAAGATCGAATCCAGTACTTCCCCCTTGGATAACGCTAACCTACATTGGCACTCGCTAACATCACTATCTGTCAACTGCTTCTCAAAAGGCTCACTGCAAGTCCCAATAACGCCATTCAATCTCGCAACCGGCGGCAGCCTTGGCAATTTCCCTCCAATTCCCCTATCTAATTTTAATTTGGTCTTCTTCATTACTCGCTTGCGCAACTCGCTAGCGGTTTTAGGATCCAGTACTTGCTTGCTCATCACTGATAGAGTTGAAGCCGCTTGCTGGACTTCCGCGTCCGTGAACTTGTCAAGAACTATCGAGCCATTGATGATGATCTTGCTTGCTTCCGAAGTTTCTGCCGACCCCATTAGTGATTTTCTTTTTCTCTTCATGAACTTAACCCTCTCTTCATCTTCCATTGCCAAAGTTAGGATTCAACCCTCCCGGCCTCCCTCCTTTGGGACTGGGTTGAATTCACACAGACGGAGGCTAGGAGAATTAATTAGTTCTTTTATAAAGAAGCCACCAAGAACAAGAGAATTAAAGGAAAACAAGGGAGGCCTACTCTGCAAGAAGGGCCCAATTCACGGCGACCCTTTAAAAGTGCTGCACTAGAGGAATGAAGCTTACTGTCCAGACACAAAATTGGAGCCCTAAGGCAGGCATGCACGTCGAATTAATAATAAAAATATATATACACATCAGAATTCTGAGGAGGAGTTGATGTGTTTCCTAATCTGATTAATTGTTACCGACTTTCCTTTTGTTTCAAAATTCCAACAGTTTGTCAAGGTAACCTTCGAACCCTAAATTTGCGTTTGTCTTGAAGTCGCGTTTCCTTTTGTAATTCTAATCAGTCCAGGTCTTCGCGCTCCGTCGAGTATAGGTCAATCTACGCTGTCGTTTTGTCATGGGTTCTCATTCTCAATGCTGCGGTAAAGTTTTTATTTCTGTTTTATTTCTTTTCTGTTATTCTTATAGAACAAGAAGACCATCTCTCTCCAATTGTAGGCTCCGTTTGGATTAGCTGTTTTTGGGTTTGTTATTCAAAAACACCACTGTAGCATTTTGAATTTGAAAAACAAGTCCGTTTAGATTAGTTGTTTTTGGGGTTGTTTTTCAAAAACTATATGAAAAACTTTTACTGTAGATTTTTTTGATTATTTTTAGAGGTATTTTTGAAACATATTTTTGAGTATTTTTAGAATGCTATAATTTTTATATTTTTATATAAATATACATTTATGCATTTATAATACATTTATATTTACAAATGTATAGATGTATATTATTATAAATGTATAAATTATAAATGAATATTATATAAATGTATAAATTATAAATTATAATTTATATATTTTTATATAAATATGCATTTATGCATTTATAATACATTTATAGATATTTATAAATAAATATATTTATATATTCATATAAAAATATATAAATGTATTATATTACATATAATACATAATATAAATATATTTATAAATGTATAAATGTATATTATTATAAATGTATAAATTATAAATGAATATTATAAATGTATAAGTGTATATAATTAAAAATGTATAAATTATAAATGAATATTATATAAATGTATAAATTAATATATTATAAATATATATTAATATTATGTAGAAATGTATTTATATAATTAATATAAATGTATATATGTATTGATATTATGTATAAAAGTAAAATTAATATTATGTATATTAATATAAATGTATAAATGTATTATATTATATATTATACATAATATAAATGTATATTATAAATATACATAAATATTTATATATTATGTATAAATGTACATTTATATAAATGTATAATATATTATATATTATATTATATATAATTTAAATAACATATAATATTTATGTAAATATATTATAAATATTTATAAATATATTATAAATAAAATAAAATATTTATAATATGTATGTATAAATATATAATATTAGAAATGTATAATATATATAATATACATTATTATTAATATAATTTATGTATAATATACATAATTGAAATATACATATTAATATATATTATAAAACAAAATTGAATAAATATATTTATAAATTTATATATAAATAAATGTATTTATATAAATATATAATATTTATTTCAATTGATATAATATATATAATATTATACATAATTGAAATAAATATATTTATATTAATATAATATATATAATATACATAATTGAAATATACATATTAAAATATAATTGAAATATACATATTAAAATACATAATTAAAATATACAAATTGAAATATACTTATTAAAATATACAAATTAAATATACATAATTGAAATATATTTGGAGTTGTTTTTGATATATTGTTTGGATATGGTGTTTTTGAAATTGTTTTTGAAATACACATTTACTATAGCATTTGGAATGTGAAAAACAGTTTTTAAAAAACAGGTGCAAAAACACTCAATCCAAACGCAGCCGTAAGTGTAACATATATATTTACAGACGGTAAAGTAAACGGCTTGGATCATACTTGCGGTTTAAGAATTAGGCTCATGCCTAAAATCGCCCAATCTCGATATATAGTCAAGGAAGGAGCAAAAGATCGACACGAAAAGGAAATCACCCGTTCTTGTATTCATTCCTTTAGTAATTAATCAATCAAAAAGTCCAACTTTACACGCTTAATGTTTACCTAACATACTCTAAATATATATATGTATATATATATACACTAATAAGTATTATTATCTCTTATATTTATATACTTTTTTTATTTAATTTTATCTATCGTCTTTATATACTTTTTCTAATTAATATTACATTTTAAAAAATATGATATTTGAAATATATCTTAACACGCTCTATTAGAAAGACCTTTTTTTTTTTTTTTTTTTAAATTTAGTTAGGACAAACGAAGACGGTCCTTGCTCAAAATTGCTTGGTTGAATTCATGTAAAGTTTGACTTTCTTTTATCTATACATTAATGCCCAACTCGGACTGTTTGATCGTATTAGGAAAAATTCCATCCGGTCTAGACCTCAAAATCCAAAAAAAAAAAAAATTTTATTTTTGCTCTTCAAAATTGTAGACACCAAATTTTGAAATAATTTGTATGCTTCGTTTTAGTGATAATTTTTAACTGTTGATTTTTGTTTTAGATGGTTTGCATTTTAGTTCATTATCGTTTGTTCAATCCTTTTAAGTGTTATTTTATTTTAGTTTTATTCACTTTTTAGTTTTTAGTTTTTATTTTTATAGAATTTGTCGAAAAGAAAAAAAAAGAGAAGAAAAACATTCAAAAGTATGCTTTAGTTGATTTTTATTCAAATTCAACGCTTTCTTGAAAAAAAAAAAAAGAAAAAAAAGGAAAAAAAGGGAAAAATGATGAAAAATGAAAAGGTGATGAAAGAAAAATTAAAAATTGCAATTTTTGCTAATTCCAGTTCATTCATTTTTATCCGATGTTAATTAAATTATTGGTCTTCATTTAATTTTATTACTATTTCATCCACTAATTTGGAAAAGAGAAAATGATGGAAAAGAGGAAAATAATGAAAAAATGAAAAGAAAAATGAAAATTTGCCATTTTGCTGTTTATTATTTCTAGTTTATTTATTTTTATCTGATATTAATTAAATTGTTGGTTTTTACTTAATTTTATTATCATTTTGCTAAATTACTTTAAAAAAAAAAGAAGCAAACCGCGGCATGCAACTGCATTTTTTTTTGCAGCTTGCAAGGACAGCCACGAAGGTCCCTTTGGAGGGCTGGATGTGAAGGCAAGGGAGGCCTTTCATCCTCACCATTGGGGTGAGGGTTTAGGAACTTGGAGTTCCATATAAAAAGAGAAAAAACAGCTGCCGCAGAGGAGGTTTTGGAGGGGACGGCTAAGGAAAACTGAGAGACGAGAGAGCGGAAAACAAAACAAAAAAAAAAAAAAACTACAGAGAGATTGAGGGAAACAGAGGAGGTTTTGAGGAAAAAGGAAAGGGCTAGAAAGGTGGACAGCGGAGAGTAAAAAATCAGGAGGGTTGCAAACAGAAAAGAAGAAACGGCGAAGAGAGAAATAGAGGAAAATCTAGGGGCGGCTGTAGAAGTTTGGAAAAAGGGCAAGAAACCAGAGAGAGAGATGCAGTGACGGCTGGAAATCAGAAAAGGAAAAGGAAGGATCTTCGGTTGGCATCGCTTGCATCAGTGTTGGGGTCTCTTGCAACCCAGTTCGTGGATTTCAATTGCCAGAGCCGTGCGATTTCCAGGAGCCTCTACTGTTTCGTTTCGCAGCCCAGGTGCTTTCAGGTAGTCATGGATCCCTTTTCAATCTTAGTTTGACAAAAATTTCTTCCTTTCCTAAATGTTGTCGATGCTTGGGGACGATGACTGTAAGTCATCTTTTTCTTTCTTTAGTCGTCGAAGTTGTGACCTGTTTGTCGTTCTTGTCTTTGTTTGTCGCTTGATTGAGGATGCCATGAACTTATTTGCTATCAAAGCTGTGTTAGAATCCTCTTGTTGCAAACTTAGGAACCAAAAAGCTGCTAGCTTTCGTGCTTTCTTTCCTTTGTGAAACTGACTAAGTGCGGTCCGTGGGTTGCAAGTGTTGTTCCTAGTATCTTGCTTGATTCTTATGTTTTGGGTCTTAGGCTGTTTTCTTGAAGCTTTATGTTTGGAGTTAGTAGATGCCTATATGCCTTTGCATTGCCGGACCTTGGTCGGGAGTTGAGGAACTCGTTTATTGTCCCCCTGCGCATTTGGAAGCTGAAACTTGCATAAAGTTTTCAACTTTGTTCTGAATTTTTTAGAATGTATTCTGGTTTCTTGCTGGAGTTATGCACGGGTTTAGTGTAATTGAAAGTTCAGTAAATGATGTAAAACATCAAGCAAGTTTGCTCTGAGGTTTCATGATTTGCTACTGCTCTGTCACTTGTTAAAATTGCAGAAGATTCTTGCATGTTTGTATTAAAAGAAAACACAGGAAATGAAAGAAAGCTGCATTTTATTCTCAGGTTTTGCTGTTTTCCCTGGTCCCGTAACAACTCTTAAAGCTGGTTGTCCTCAGCTTTGTTTGCATGATCAATCTTGTGTCAAATGACTGGTGCATGAATTGTTTAAAACCCAAAGAAAACACCAGGGGAGTTTGCGGCAAAAGCTGCAACAGGAAAACGCAGGAATGGTTCCAGTGCTTGCGACTCTTTTTCTTATATTTGTTCCAGTAGCTGTCTTCCTTGCATTTCTGTGTAATCATGGGGTTTGTTCAGTAGTTTGTTTGAAAGATTTTAGGGATGTGTTAACATCAAGTGAAGCTTTTGGTGGCTGTTTCCATTCACAAAACATGCATGTGTTCATTGCACTAAGGATAGGTAGCTGTCAGATTTCTATCCTGTGTTGGTTTGTCTTCTTGGAAATCTGGTTTAGGCAAATGATCACAGCACTCCATCGCAGTTTTTTCGTTTCCTTCCCCTCCCCTCTGTCCCAAGTTGTTGCATTCAATTTGAGTTGTTAAATTCATTGGTTTGTTTTGTAAGGCTAAATGGAAAAGGTTGCGGAAAAATGTTAGCCGAAAGTTGCAGAAAGCTTCAAAGTTGTTGAATGGTTTTCATTGCAGAAATCTTCCTCGTATGCATGCATGGATACTTTTCAAAATTGCCTTTTAACTCCCTCAAGTTTCCCCTTATGCAACTATGACCCAAAAATTGAGAAAAACTAATCAATTTGGTCCCTGTTATTTTGCAGCAATGCTTTAAAGACCCAATTACATTCCAATACCTTGCAATTGAATCCTAAGTTGATTGTAATTTGACTCGTTATTTGGCTTTTTGGACTTTTGAAGTTTTTAAGCATTGCATTTGGACTTGAATGATTGGTTAAAGGTCGTTTTGAGCTCCCATTAGTTGCTATATTTGGGAATTTTGATGAGTTATTCCATTTTTCCTTGGTCATGATGCATTTCTTTAATTAATTGCAATTGAACAAGGATTCGATGTTGGTGGAATCAAGTTGGTTTATATATGTTTTACCACTAAATTGGTGCATTAATCCTTTGCTTTGATGGTTTTAGCCTAAGTTATCATTTTTTTGGTGACCCTAGTCCAAATTGAGTCCTTTTACTCTATCAACGTCATGAATGGGAGATATAATTTCTTTTATCTTTTTTTTGTCTCTCCTATGTGATCCAACGTGCTAAGTGAGAATTGCATGTCTAAATTGCTTTCCTTGCCTTTCTTTAGTTTCTTTATTTCATTTACTCTTGCTTTTTGTTAAGTTATTATTTATGGGGTATGTGTACACCTCTTGACTTGTAATAGATAGGGCTTGGAGGAGCACTTGATGAAGATCTATTGAAGACGTGTACCTAGCTAGCAAATGTAATAGGTTCATTAGCTTGATTGCTTGCCTTTGTTGCTATGTGTTAATTTGTTTTATTAGGCTCTTGCATCTAGTCGAGCATGCTAAGTGTTATGTGTTTATGAGTGTTTGGCATGTCTACTTGCTTTCTATAGCCATGGATGAATGTGATGGATGAATGTACGTTTCCACTAGTCCAACGCTAGTAGGAATTCATAGAATGGGCTAGTCCAACGCTAGACCCTTAGGGATTTCTCCCGTGAGTCCATACTTGCATGTTTCACTTCATTTCATGCATTTTTCTTAGTTTTTATCATTTAGCATGCTCCTCAAACCCATTTTCCCCTCATTTTAGGTTTTTGCATCTCATGCTAGTTATAGGGTACATTTGCCTGAGTGTCCCCTTTCGATAAGGGAAACGAGTGAGTTTGGCTACAAAATAGCCTTAGCACGCTAGTTCTCCCTTCTAATCAAAGGAAAAATTAAAGTCACAAAGTTAGGACTCCCCGTTCCCGTCTTGATGCATTCCTATAGGATTCATGCATTTTACTCATTCACTATCACATGCACTTCTACTTTATATTCTATCCCTTTTTCCATATTCTCACTTCACACGACTTTAATTTTTGCACGTTTTCACTCAACTATTTACACTTTATAAATATTACTCGCACACATGCACTTTATGTTATCTCACATACATTTTCACATTATTACTTTACTCACCTTATCTTGTAAATCCATTTGCACACTTCCACTTACACACTCTTGTTTTTATCACTTTTTCACTTCACACAAATTCACATTTTCACATGGCATGTATTCATTTCACTCATTTTTACGTCATTTAGGATTATGTGTGACCTCTCCAAAGGATCATTATTGGGCTTCACAATTAATGTGATTGGCACCACTCAACCTTTGAAGAGAAATTTCCCCCATGTCCCCCTAGGTCTAGGTTTGTGCATTCATATAGTTCATCCAACACGCGATACATATCTTGGGTAGAATAATTAGGAAAAGTGGGGCTAATTCACGCAACTAGTTTTGGCTAGGGTAAGGGAGTGCCTTAGGCTCCGCCTTTGCCTTCTCCCTTACCAAACGTGACCCCCGATCCCTTTTTTTGGTTACGTAGATCTAAAAGTTTTCAAAAAGGGTTTGTTTACTTTTTCATTCAAAAAACAAAAATCATTTTTGGGTGACTTGGTACACCCTAACTCTATATCAAGTGGCGACTCCATTTTTCATACATAAAACTCTTTTGAACTTTACTTGACCAAAACCGTCGCATTTTACAATCCCACGGTCTTTGTTTTCACTTCTACACACGTTCACACACACTACACACACTACTTTCACACCATTTTCAAAAAGTGGGGCGCGACAAAAATGATCAAGCCATTAGACTAGGGGTGCGAGCTCAAGCTGGTCGAGTCAAAATCGAGTTCGAGTTCGAGTTCAAAACATTAAGCTTGCTCGCGAGTTTGAATATATATATATATATTTTATTTTTATTTTAATAATAAAATTACATAAATATCCTTAATATTTTATTATTTATTAAAAAAATATTATATTATTTATTTTTTAAAAAATAAAATAATTATTTTTATTTTTTTCGAGATCGAACTTAAAAATTGCCAACTCGTCGAGTTCGAGCTCGAGTTCGATGAAATTAAGTCAAGACTCGACTCGATAAGGCCAAAGCTCGACTCGACTCGTTTGCAACCCTACATTAGACCATTAAATAGATAAGATGGATTAGATGGTACGAAAGGAATGGAGTCTAAGTGAAAGATTTCAGATTCGAGATCTCTCACTTATCAAAAAAAAAAAATCTTAAAAAAAACCAAGTAGTCCTTTAAACTACAGTTTCAGAACGATTTCTTAGAAACCGTTTACGTTAATAACGTCACAAAGTATTGCTACGAATAAAGCGTTGGCATCAACTTGGTGTTAAAATAGATGACATTTTTTCCCTAAAAAAATTTCATTTTGTTGATTTATACGCATAGATTTTGAGGGGTAAAGTGGACATGAGTCATATGACTAAATATTATCTGATTTTTCTTACCTATAATTATTCGCCAACCCTTTTTTGCAGTTCACCAATTTCTGTTATTTTACACCAAAATCTTTTTATAGTCGCGACTCGCGAAGAGACGGCTTTGTTGCACAGAAGAGCAGGGGCAAAAGTAGAGGCTTTTCCTCAGCACAAAACTACAATTTGAAGGATATCTAGTAAACCATCCCGGTTCCGCATGATTTTTGTAAAATATCAGAATCAATACAGGGAGAATAACAGCTCAACCACATAGAATAGAATGGTCAAAAAAATTTTTTTTTTTCCAATAAGTAGTAAAAATGCTCTTACTTATCAAAAACCTCAATTCTCCAATCGTACAGCAGAATCAAGCCTAACGCGATTTAGTCTAACAGTTCCTAGAATATACTCGGGTAGTTCTGCCTCTTCTTTTGCCTACGAAACAGAAGTAAACAGGCTTTAGTGCCAAGATAGAGAGAAACCTAAAATCTTGAATTGCAAAATTCCCAAACTTTAAAAAAAAAAAAAAAAAATTTTAAGCCCGAGAGTGTTAACTCATTCTCAGTCCAAGCAATTTAGAGGTAAAATATTTAATGCACCTAATGAGTTTCACTCCGTGCAATTTAGAGATAAAATATTCAATGCACCTATTGCGTTTCAGAGTAAGAGGAAAGTATACTTGCCTCTATCAATATTGCAAGATCAACGACAATGCTGGTGACATATCCAAGGACAAGACCAATCACACTCCTTGCCACAGATGATGAGCCAATGTCCACATCAATCTGCATGTAAGGAACACTTATCAGTTTCCCAACAGAACAGAAAGACTAACAAGCGGCAAAGTTATGCAGAAAAGAGTTGAAGTGACGATGCCACTTACAGGTGAAGTCTGTTAAGACAGATACTAAAACATTTCTTTGTCTGATATTAGTAATTTGTCCAACAGTTTTCATGTTCTAAATCTGATAAACAGCAAAAGAAAAGGGGATATGTGCAATGGTTTGCACTGAATATCCAAGTTGAAAGTAGTTACAGCAGCAAATTAAAACTCAATCATGAGAAGGCAATGAGTAGGAAAATCATTTCATGATTCACCAAAGGGAAAACAAGTTTCCTACTGTATCAATTTTCGTACGGATACAAAAACCTTTTATAATGTCACATAAAGGGAAATGAAATTGACTAGTAACTGTCTGATGCCAATGATGAAAAAGAAAACTTCATATAGAAAGGGCAAATTTTTAAACATAGTCACAAAACCATTACGTTTTAGTATTATATGAGATTAAATAGCCCCAAGTGACAAATGCATAAATAATTTCGAGAATAGCAGACTTTAAGGTTTGACCTAAGAAAAATTTGCACATCACTGAAAGTAATAGAAATAGGATTAAGGTTTCCTACACTTGACAGTATAAGATTCTTCAGACAAGCAAAGTCTAGATGCATAAGACATAGTCACTATTGACATCTGAAATCTCCTTTTTGCACGTCATGATTCAGGAACTACTACCGGATCTTGCTCAAATAGCGAACAATATATGAATCAATAGGTGAATCTGTCAATGGTATTGGGTTCTCACATACCATATTCAAGCTCATGGAACTAACAAAGATTTTTGATGGTTCAGATTCTAGTTGATTGCACTTCAAAAATGATGTAAACAAAACCCAGAATTTATCATCATTGGAAAACCTAGTAAAGACTTGTATAAATTCTTATCAAGTTTGCGTCCTACCTCCAGAAAATTGTCTTGTCTAAGGTATTTGCACGTTACTGCTTTCCCAAGCAGGCAAGCTTTAGTTCCAACGGCACGTTTGACCATCCAATATCCCTGTCATGCAAATTGCCAAACAGAACTGGCGTCAAAAGCTCATGAATACCACATGCACTAGATAGACACCAGTCTGCAATCCATACCTCAACAATGCTTGGAATCAGTTTGAATCTTGAATCCCGGAACATGTCAGTCCCCTCCACAAATTTACCCAACAAAGAATTTTTATTTACAGGTCTGTCAGCAGCATAATAAAGAACCATGCTGTAGTTTGGTTTGGCAGGAACCTGACATAGTTAAACCAGGAAGAATATCTCCTGTTCTCAGAAGGTGTGCATGCTAACCCAAAAAATAAAGAAAATGATGAATCTCATTGTGGTTCCTACTCCTCTGTTAAAAACATTACAAGATTTCCGTCAAAAAAGGAAACATAACTAATTCAAAACATATTAGGGAACAATATCAGCAACGGATTACATTTGTCACTTCAAAATTAGATTTCTTGAGACCTTTTTCTTCTTTTTCACTTAATGAAATTATGATTATTTCTCAGCTCTCAATCTAATTTCAGCTATGCCCATATTCCTGAAAATCAGTTGAATGTCAAATGTAGATTAACCAAATATCAATATTAACCAGTATTTTCCAAGGCTTGTATGTGGTGAATGTCACGTTTCAACTTGCATAATGCTTAGTATATGAAGACAACTCTTTAGCATATGCAGAGCATATGGCTTTTCTTAGGTAAAGAAGGAAGTCTATTGAGATGAAGGATGCATGAATAGAGGATGAGAAATCCTCTTTTATAATGCAGAATTGGAAAATGTTTTGCTTTGCAGTCCCTTGAAAATTAATTGTTTGTATATGCAAAGACATTCTCATAACATCCATAAACAGAGAGGCAAGCCACAATAAATCCTAGCACACACCTGAAGATTTATAACAAGGATGAACGGAACTTTCTTCCCTGCTTCAGACTGTAATCACCAAACTATGTTAGATAGCATGAACCAATTACCACACCACCAGATGGTGACATGAAGATGGAAGGAGCCTGCCTACAAGCACCTAACTTTCCTGTTTCACAAACTCACATGGACAAGGATGACAACAAACGCATTGCAGCCTTATACATAATTAAAGGCCATATTAAGTATAGAAATGCAAGAAAGCCAACAAATATATAATGTGGATTGCAAAATTTGAGATCCAGAGTTCTTATCAGAATTTATTTCCATATTTGTGTTTGACGATGGAGACAATCCATTGTGAGACTGAGAAGACAACTCGGCAACAAGACCACTTTAAATTACAACAAACACCCATTTGCTTGAGATTTTCTCCTAACACAATATAAGGGAAAAGGTATCGAGAGGGTTTCCTAGAGGTCTCAAAAGACTCTCAGCAATGTTTTGCATAATTGTACCTGAACTTTTGCCGAATGCCATTAAGTTTCAACTTTCCATTCAAAGATTGTCAGATTATTCTTATTTTCTTTTTCTGCTTTTGGATTGCAGGATGCGGCATGGGGGAATGGTCAGAGTATCAGATTCTTCATACATAGATTCAAAGGCATTATAGGTGAGAAGAGTTCATGCCATCACTTTTTTTTTTCCAACTATATACCTTGGCACAGCACAAAAAACACAAAACATTATTTTTCCTAGGATGTGACATAGCTTGTTACAATGCACGTGGGAACTACTAAGTTTTTATTTTATTATTATTTTTAGGTTTACTCAACTTCCTTTATTTTCGAAAAATCAGGAGAAAAAAGAGACTCTTATGGTTAAACCTGCCTGGAGTAGACTCCTATTTATATAATTATAGATTCTGTTGATTACCTGAACAAGGCATTTAGGATGCAGTGCAATGTTGTCAACACGGTTATCTACATTAAACCAGTCCACAGCTATGAGCTTCAGAAGTGGCTCACCCCCTTTTACCTGCATCGAGGAAGAGCTACATTTGTCAGATTAAAGCTGCGAAGACATCAAACTTTGATAGGGATGCAAGAGATCATATTGTACACAATCTGATACCTAAATCATGACTAATTTCTTACTATCAACATGCAATTTTCTATTAATTTGGTAATGAGTGGAGTTGGCCTTGGATCCCTACAAAATATAACTTGCAATGATGACAGACTCGGGTATATGCACTGGGCATTTATCTCAACTGTTTACGGCTCTTTATGAATAACTGTAAAATGGAAATGTACGAAAAAGGATTGAAGATTGGAGATGCGGATCAGTCTTCCAAGATTAGCTTTTTTATAAATATTAAGAAAACAATTTCAACAAGTAAGCCTCAATTGTTGTATGCGAACAATCTTTGAAGGGCTAGAAAGGACATGATTGACTATATCAACACATAACTCAGGAATCCAATTCCACATGGCGAATAACAAGTCAGGAGTTCATGCTATGTTATGCAAAATGCTACCCAACATTTGGCTTTGATCACATATTCATTCAAGGAGTTGACTACTAAGCTATGAGTTGCAAGTATTTGAAAGGGCAAAACTTTACTTTGCACTGAAGCAAATATTTTGACTGAAAAACTTCACAATTACATAGATACCACAAAAAGGCCCCAAAGGCAACACATATGATAAACGCAAACAGCCAGATTGCTCAGGGAAGGGTATTATGTGCATGTTGGCCTCCCCCATTTCCCATGGTGGCCACATCATCAATGAGACATCCCTATTCTGTTGATCATAATCCCTGGCAACCTTAGTTTTTCTTCAATTTGATCGATGATGTGCATTCAGTGGGACATATTAATGATTAGAAGGTCAAAAAAACCAGTACTATTGCAATGCATGGAGAAAGATGAAAAAGCACAATGCTATATGGAAGAGATCAACTTTCTGCTCTGCTCTTTGCAAAATATAGCATCAGTTAAAAAAAAAACAATAATAGCTCTACCTATCATTACATAGAGCATCAATATCAATATCACAGAGACATACCTTTATGCTGTCTTTCAAGTATGTCTTGCCTCTGATCATGAATCCTGTGCCACTAGGAGAAGTCCAGCAGCTAGTATCAGCCTCATCCCCCCCTCGTTGCATGGAACCATGGAACTGAAATGCGTCAAGATTGATTGGAGTGACATCTGGGTTTAACTCCTTGTTAGCATCTGGTGCTGCACGTTCAAGCAATAAACACTTTATGGTGCATATGCTACTTTTTGAATCTGTTAAAATAGTTACATATGTATAAATAGAGCACATGTGCACAAAAGAAGAGATACCTGACATTCTCTGCAATGCCAGGCTTGCTATGGCCCATGAAACATTTTTCAATTTGAATTTTCTATTCTGGTAGAGTAAAAGGACAAGTTTAGATTCTCAAAAGACAAGTCGCAGTATGATCAGGAAGGGAGATGAAACAAACAAATACGGACCTTATTGACTTTTTCTGAGTCATCATCGCTGTTATCATCTTCTGAAGATGAATCACCAGCAATTGCATCATAGAATTCATCTGGTGCTTCTGCCACTTCCAATTCACCATTGGATGCTAAAACATCGGAAATCTTAGAATGGATAACAGTTGTGGGAGATTCAGCTGTAAGTGCAGGATTAGCTCCAACATATTCCTTCAAACCTAAACAAAGTCATCAAGTATGTTAAGATTAGCCGGATGTGCATTCAGCATTAAATACAATTGATTTCTTAGGGCACATTAAAGTGTTTTAACTTAAACTGTCCATATGTTGTCAAGCAATTGCCTGTGCAACCATTGGGACACCAACAGCTTTATTTGTTTAAGAAGACTCCTACAAGGAGAGTAGCAAGAACATTGCAAGCATTTAGGTGAGAGAATTGTTTCAGCAATAATCGAAAATGGTGAATGCAGATGGTCTGGCATTAAGTTTTCAGGAGAAGAGAAGAAGTTTTAAGTTAATAATAAGCGTTGAGTTGGTAGGTGGAAAATAAGCAAACATGGCATTATTGCTAGGGGATAAAGACAGCATGGGAAGCTTGGAATCCATGCTTGGTATACAAGACAAACATTAAAGGGCTACATAGTTCTCCTGAAGGATAAGGATAGACCAAGTTTAACATGGAAAAAACTAATACCTACATTAGGTTTCAACAAAACCTGTCTTTCTCAATTATTTACTTAAAAACAAAGCATAGTTATTGTATCAAACTTGCAAAGCAGCAACATACTGCCCAGAAATTTCAGTTGTTCACAAGATAAATGTAGATATCATTTTAGATGCATAGTTTTTGGCGAGTATGAAGATGGTTCATGAATATCCTCAATCTTCTCTTTATACTAGTTGTACATAAAGGAGGAAAAAATGATAAATTGTTAAATGTATAGAAATCAGAAACCTGACACTTGACTCAGCAGTGCAAATGGAATAGTTTTTTCGAACTTAGGGCTGTAATCCTTCTTCCATTTAAACCAGCCTTTGGTGTTTATCTCTAGCGTTTGCGTCACAAGGCATTGGGCCACCTTTGATGATGAGGATGTATTTAAGTTTTTTATCTCCCATGAAGAAGCTACATTGGAATGAAAACAAAGAAAGAGTCAGGAAAACTTAATACGGCAAGCTATGTCATTCAACTGATAGTGTCTAGTCAGTAATAAGAAGCAGTCATACCAAATGTACACACAAATGCAGATGTTCAGAAAATTATATTTATATAGACAACAGAGAGTTAATCACTAGTTGCAAGCAATCAAAATAAGGAAAATAGCACGAAGAGAAAGGCAAGATTCCAAAACATTGCATACAGTGCAATTAAAATTGCACCAAATGGATCTGATACTTCTACAAAACCTTAAAAAGTCACAAGACCATCTTCCCCTGTCAAACCTAGGACAAGGTCTCACAAAGGATTCCATGTGGAAAAAGTTCAACTTGTCCAGAATGTCTAATGGTTCTCAAATAAAAGATTAAGATCTTTTCTCAAAGGTTTGTGGAAATAAAACTAAAGAGCAGAACCATGTCTGCTCCCAAAACTTTTTCCAAGAATCAGAACGAATGGACAGATAATTGTGCCAAAGTAATGATGTTTTATGCCATCGCCACAAATTGTGACAGGTTAGGAGTAAGCAAGCAAAAGGATCACAAATACATAGAATCTCTTACGATTAATTTTGGTGCGTCGATATCCAGATTTTGGTGGCCGTTTCTTGTGCACGGCAGGAAACTGCAAGATTGCTGCATCATTACATAAGAAGTGTCATGCACAATAACATTGAAGAATACAAGAAACGCAATAAATTTGTGTGCATATTCTGCAGAGTCATTGGCTTTGGCAGTTTCTGCATAATTTCAGTCCGGTACGATGATGGAAGTTTTCAAGTATCCAGTGTCTGGGGCTCTACAATATTTTCCAGTACTTCATGGGCTCTTGTAGGATAAAGTCTGATTTAATGTTGTCATATGTTGAGCATGACTTGCAGTTTTGGTCCGTTCTTTCTTTTATCTTTAAAGTTTTCTATTCATGTGAATAGCCTTCCAGGAACACGCCACCTTCCACCAAGAGGTGGTACTAAACTATAATAGCTTTGTAAATTTACAACCTCTATGATAGTTGATGTAGCCTTAATTTTCACGGGAAATTTTCAGGAGGATGACTAGAAACATGTGCATATTCTGTATTATTACCATTATATGCTGTTTCGCAGCTCTCTTGAAAATTTTGTGCCAATGCATAACTCCAATATTGCTTATTTAAGAATACAAAAGAATATAGAAGTATATGGTAGAGCAGTCATCAAACTAAGCAAATAAAGAGAATCTTACTATATGTTCCATCCTGTCCACGAAACCACTGCCTAGAGAAAACAAAATCTCTCTTGGACCGCCACCTGCAGACACAACACTTAAGAAGTTCATGAGAAAAGATAAAAGGTTCAATGGGGAGCTCAAATCTCTTAGCTAGATGATCCAGTTGCGTTTGCATATTGAATTCAACCAACAAACAAAGAACTGTATTTGCTATCTGCAATCTTCGTCTGTTGCTTCATAAAGCAATTAAGGAGCAAGGCGTGTTTGTTTTGAAGTATGAACATCAAAAGGGTTGAATTCCCCTACTCATCATACTCAGCCTGCCATGCTAATAACCAACTCAAACAGCTCTTGTTAGGATATATAGACCTAGAATAAGTTTAGCAAGATCTAGCTTGAGCAGAAAACACACTCAGTCGAGGTTCACCCTTTGATTCTATAAGCTCTATTACCATTGTCTCACTTCAAAGACCCAAAAATGTAGTTTGGGATAATATGGTAAGTGTATAATGTCCATTGAACACCAATATATCCACTAGTCCAACAAGCTTTGTTCAACTTACCTATTATTACAGAATTGTTGCTGAGGAATGATATTTAGAAAAATACAAATTTATTGTCCATAATGGATTAGAGAAAACAAAAGAAAATGAAGATTAAAGTATTTCTTGGAAGAAATTCAATGCATGTGACATAATAGTGGCAGAATGAGAAAATGACATTATTCAGGTTATTTCAAGAAAGGTAGAAGAATTACAGAAAATATATCAAAACAGTTTGATGATAGTTGAGTACAAGTGCAGTAACTATAAATAACTCTATAATACCATAATCTAGAACTTAGGGTGGCAAGTTTTCTGTTTTTGATTTACACTTCTGAAATGGAAGTTTCAGAAAAGAATAGGAAAAAGAAAGACACAAAACACAATTTTCTGCTTTAATACATACCAAGTCAAATAATTGGGATCAAAAACTCCATACACGACGTCATAGTGTCCATTTTCAGAATCAACCAACTCCAAGTCACCTGTCAATGTATCCCACCTGTAGTATAAATGTTAGTGAATCTTTGGTGGCAAGATAATCCACAGACAGAAGAGTATGATACACATACTCATATCTCTGGTGGCGATCAAGACTCAAAACCACATCGAAGACAGTGTCAGCACTGGCTTCAACAACACCTACAGCCTTGACAACAATGCCCTTACCACTCTACAAAAGCAACATGCATAACCATTAAAAGCAGTGAGGAAAGATGAGGATAAACAAACAGAAAAATCTGGGAATACATGCACTCTCAGGACTCTGTCAAATACTCTCTTCAAGCTAGAAGTTCATTTCAAGCCCACAAATCATGATCCCCAGCTGATCTGCCGTCACACCTCTTTTGTCAGAAGGACTAAATATGCAACTCAGTGTGCATGAAAATTAAAGGTGTCCAATAATTGGACATAAAGGCCTTTAATACATTAACATATTGTTCATAAGTTCATGAATTTTAGTTGTTCTCCACAGTATTCAAGCCATGAAGGTAGGACACTAAAAACTGTGAAGACCTAAACTTTGACAGCTTTCTGAATAAACACTAACTTTTAATGAACATGAAAAAGAAAACCAAACGTTTCCTGATTAATTAGCTTCCTCGGCTCCAAAGAAAGGCGGGGACGTCCCCCCGGGGGAGGAGAAACTCAGTGTCGTCACCTTGGTATTTAATTTATTGACATCACACTATGCAAGGCAGAAGTAATGATTTTATGAAGATTGCAAAGCACAAAACATTATAGACGCCATTGTAAATGTATATACAAATTATAGAAGATACCTCAGAGCTAGCTACATCTTCAAATATTCTAACACCTGAAAAATAAACATTGAACAATTTATTTAAAAAAAAAAAAGCGGGAAACATCCAGATCAATAAATTGTCTGGTAAAATATCAAATTTTCGAATAACATGATATAAAGAAATTATTCTTAGCCTCTTGCATGACTAAGAGTGAGCATATTTCAAGCACACACACTAATAAGATACAACAGTCCAATCATTTTAAACATCATCTCATCATATATGAAAATAAGACGAAGTCAACTTTTATGCAAGTATCGACTATGGAGAATAACCATTTAAGAAAATAAAATATAATAAAGGGTAGCCCGAACTTCATTTAATGTTGAACAATATAATGTAAGATGATCAAGTGCCATAAAGCAGCACCAACATAATGATGAGAAGCATAAAGTACTCACACTACTTTACTGCTACATGCACACAGAGAAATCTGAAATGATGTATGATGTAAGCAACCAAAATCAATTGACCATAATCATCTTGGTGGCTACTGGAAATACACAACCATGCGAACAGATAATGTATGAGAGGTATGGAACATTCGACATTCATGGCCATGTCTTCTATTTGCCTCAGCAATCAATAACAGAAGATCAGAGGTTCATTTCCTAGGAAGCCAAAATTGCTATACTGGTTCCAGTCAGTCATTTATTACTTCACAATGTCTAATAACATGAACTAAAGAAAAAGAAAAGGCCATTACAAGAAAAAAAAAGATACCATTGATTGTCCGGACACATTTCCATTCATGTGCTTCAACTGCATCTCCACCATGTGCATCAAAGAATGCATCTGCTCTGCCTCTCCCATCCAAGCTTGATGATTGGCGTAATAGCATCTCAGGACCTAAGTCCAACGAACAGAACAGATCACAGACAATTTGAAAGAAGATTGTTTCAATTTTACCAGTCAAGGTTATATATACATCATGGAGACATATACGACAACTGAAACATTAATAACACACTGTGCAGCACCTGTGGACCATGAAACAATAAAATTACTAGCATTTAAAGCTCAACCTACCTTGTACCTACAGAGGCATATCTTTCAAGCTTAAGCATATGATCAAGCATAAGACAGACCACCACATTGTTCACAAGACACATAGACAACTGAAAAATGATAAAGGTATAGAGCACACAAAATTAAAGTTCTTTTTGGCCATATACTGTTTTGTTCCTCAGAGCTGAGCAGTTACATCATCAACTAGGATTAACTAAAGAAAAAAAAATGGCACACAGAAGCACGAAATCTAACTGTAAAATGAAAGAAATCTCAAAAAGTATGTCATGAAATAATACGCAAACGTGTTCAAACTGGCTCACCTTGTCCTATTCTTATAAGCTTTTTCAAGCCATGTGCATACCGCCTTACCCTAGGCCGACGCCCTTCAAGATTGATCCTTCACACAACAAAAAGTCTTCATAAATTTTCAGAAAACAAGTTTAAAAATATACACAAAATTCCACAGAAGTGCACTTAAAAAACTTGTGATATGAAAAATAAAGTGAACCATATTTAAGAGCAAGCATTGCAAGGAAAATAAGAGTATCGTTGTCATATGAAAGAAATTTCATGTTAATATGTACACTATACTTGATTATAAGCACTACAAAAAACTACTAAAGGATAACGACAAAAAACTTTGGACAATCCTTTCAACTTTTATCCCAGATATGCCTATACCTATCATAATATGTTCCTCCATATCCTAATATTTTCAAGTTTTCTCCTGAAGAAGGGAAGTCAAAGCAATCAATTACACAAAATTGTACAAAAAGTTTCTACAACTGAACAATTTGGCAATTGTGTACATACTCGTTCTCCACGTTCAACTTGCTTCTTGTGCTAGCACCTCTTGAAAGCTCATACTCCGCCTAAAAAACAAGAGTTGAAGAGTCCACAGAAAACAAGGTAACATTAATAAGATTCACTCAATCAGTCGATTTCTTTGAGCGTGGAAACTGAAAATCACTCAAAAACCTTATCCAGGAATATTGTTTTGTAGAGCTAAACGTTAACAAAACATGATATGGTCATGCATTAAGTGGTTACAAGCATATCAAAAGTACATACTTAACAAAATTGCTCATACCTGTTGCTTTGCATGATCAAATGCTTCCATCCATTTTCGGGCCTCACCAGCGTTAGCACAAGCAATCTTGCAGCAATCACAATCACTTAGTGTGAGATGATTAAACAAACAAGAGCTCAATTTCAGCTAATAGATGTTTTACTTACTTCTCCCTTTCTTGTCTCATCCAACCGGTTGTAAAATCTTAGAACGTAAAGATCCTATAAAAGTGCAAAAGCAAAGCACTACTATATTAGTTTAGCTAATCCGATTAGGAGTTTGAAATATGTTTTGAAACACTTGGAAGAAACAAAACCCAACACGAAGTAAAAAAGGAGAACTTGTGAAAAGGGACTAATAAAGGTAAAGGGGAAACAAACATCTTACTTTTGAAATAGAGAAACATGACACACGAGAAGAAAAGCATTTTAAGTAAGCATGAACAAAAGCAACTAGGAATAGATCCCAAAACGAAACTTACCCCACTGTTAACCTTTCGGCGACCTAGCTCTTCCACCATAAGTGTGTGACCGACAACACCCCTCCGAATGGGTTTCTGCAATAATGCACCACTAACATTATTGGACAAAACAATGACCATCAAAACTATTCCTGTTCAAGAATGGAAATGCTTTCTCCAAGTGAAAATACAGACACCACTAGGGCACATAGAGGAAGGATGAAAAGAGATAGGACATGAATGACATTGAGAACTTAAACTAGTCTAGTATATAACTGTTTTGAACGTGCAATAAGCAAACATCACATTGGCAATAATCAAATGGACATTGTGAAACGCAACACGATTAATGAAACAAAAGCATTAAGATTGAGTTTTAAGAGAACATCAAGTGCATTAAGCAAAAGTTTCTTCAGACCTCCAAAGTATCAGCGAGCACATTATTTCATGTGGATGTACCTCAAAAGTCAAGAGAAAGGAGACATGTCATCTTTGAGTACCCAAGAGGATAAAAGTGATATTTCAACTTCAATTGCTCTGTCAATTCCGAGCCTTCTTATCATCCTTCTAAAGTTGCAAAACCGACCATTATTCCAGCATTTTCTCCTCAAGTGTTCTACCCTGCTATTAATCTAAATGGTAAAAGTTCTATCTCCAGCAACCACAGCACCCACAGCCTACAAATCTATTTTCAATCAGAAGGCCCCAAATTGCCTTCTCCACGGTTCACCATCCCCAATCCCTCAGTACACAGTCCAAAATTCAGCTAGAAGGCAATTGAGTGAATAATGTTCCCTAACTCAAATCGAACAACTGAATCAAATGATCCACGTAAAGAATCAACGCAAGCAACAGTTAAAAAGGAACACACGGTTAAAAACAAACTCGTGTTTGGGTATGTTCAGAATGGGACTTGTCAGGGTACGCGCTACCATCATTCCGCCACCTCATGAACCCATCAAAATAAGATACCTGGATTCAGCTTCTAGTCAGCTCAGGACAGCACAACTAAGACGTTAATAACCATGAAAATAGTTACTGAAAGCTTGAACATTCAAAATTATAGTATGGTGCCATCATTTTAAGGTTAGGAGACAAAAGAAAAATGGCCAAGTCCAGGGTATGACGCGAAGCGGTTAACATGATCCAACAACCAATAAATCCTTAAACCCCTTCGGTTCTTTTCTCTCCTAATCATCCTCGCGAACCAAACAAAGCCCATAAAGCACTTCAAAAAAATAAATAAATAAATAGACAAAGAAGCGAAGGTGATTTAGAATATGAGGACTAACAACGCCAGGATTTTCGCGAGGGTCTCTTTTGTACATCTCGACGTACTTTCCTCGGATACAGAGGTAACGGAGATGGCAATATTCATGACCAATGGAATTAACTCCTAAGTGATAGACCCATCCGAAATACTCAAAAGTATTGCTGCTATTGCCGCTGCTGTAGTTGGATCCTCTGTCGTCGGCACCGCTCTCGGAGCCTCCACTCTCGGATCCTCCTCCTCCTCCTTCGCTGGCCACCTTCTTCACTGCGCCCCCCCAGCTGGCCATTTCAATTCGTTAACTTCCAGAAACAATAAAAGACGACGATAAATGAGCTAATTGAATCGGATCATCAGTAGGTAGGACGGAGATATATATATATAAGAAATTGACTTGCGTTGGGACAACGAAGAAAGAGTGTGTAGTGCGTGTTTGGCCTATGGAATTCATTATTGTCAGATTTGGTTGACGTGGCAATTCGTATTCTGGAGAAATGAGTTGGAAAGAGGGTGGACCCAGTGGAGGATATGACTGTGCCCGTTGGATTTTGGATTTTTTTCAAGTTCCCTAATATTCGGTTATTGGCGTGTTTTGCAGTTTGTCACCTAACATTTTATTTTCTTTTTAACAGCTCAAAAGGACAATATGTTTTCCCTTAAATGTATAATAAGAACAGAGCCGCTGGCCTTTTTGTCCAATGGTCATTCATCGTACCTTGCCTCCAGTCTTCCGCCAAAATTTGTCACGATGATCTTCATTGATCAATTTCGATAAAGTTTCTATTTACATTGAATCCTCTCCACCTCTCCACTAGAATAGGCTAGCTTAGATTATAGGAATTCTATCGTATCGATAAAAAAAAAAAAGAATAATGAAAACAAACATAATGTCCACGATTTTGGATCAAATATAGCACATATTTCTCTTCCTTCACACAAAGCTTCTGGTCTATCTACTTCAAGTAATTACATGCATGAAGTAAAATATTTTGAATTTAACATTATTTTTTTAAAAAGTACAAAAAAATAATTAGTTTATCATAAAAATCAAACCTTGTAGTTTGAATATTCAAAAAAAAAAAACTACTTTTTGGATTTTTGAATGTCCAAAATCTTCTTAAATATATTATTTAACCACATCCATAGGTTTTCATATGGGGTGATAAACAACATTTAGAGGAAAAGCAATAAAATGAATTTGAAAATTTTCGAGACATTTTTTTCTGCTTCAATTGCAAATGTGTGGATGAAGGAGAGAATATGGGAGGGTCGCTTCTTTTATAGAACATGAAAGAATTTCTCTTTTCATCAGAAGTTTTAAAGATTAAAATGGGGAGTATTTTTGTTCACTGCAATGATTTTAACGGTCCATTTGATAAGACGGACTGACGGAGGGAATGAATTGACAAAAAATAAAATGCTAAGGGATAAACTGCAAAACATACAAAACCTTATGCGGACTTCCTGTGATTAACCCTTTTTTTTTTCATTTTCTTATTTGATTTTTGTCAAATTAATGATAAATTGTTGAGGTTGTAACTAGAGAGTGATTGTAGGGGTGGGGGTGGGATTGGGACCGGTGGATTGTCGGCAAAGATGGAACCATCTGGTGTTTTTTTTTTTAAAAAAAAATTGTTTTATTTATTTTAGTTTAGAAAATGGTACTGAACTGGTATAATAATTAATAACGCATTAGGTAGGAGAATGGGACTCCAGCATTTGTGCACACTTGGTGGTACTATTCATTTTTAAGGTGCTGAGTTTTAAGTATTTCTACATTTTTTTGTTTAGCTTTGAGTTACATGGCAGGTAAAGATTAAAGAATGCATTAAAATGTTTTGACTTCAAGGTCATTGATAATGGATTATTAATAAGTTTATTAACTCACGGTTTCAAATTCAAGTTACTTACAAAGTAAGAGTTGCTGCAAGAATTGTCAGTCGTAACAAAGCTTGTAATTACTTGCCACGATTGCACACCTCGGAATTTTTGAGCAGTCATTCATATCATTTTCCCCCTTCATTGTTAACGTTCAAATTGTCAAATTATATATAATTGTCAAATAATGTAATTCGAACATTTTCTTACGGTGTAAATTTGGAGCTCCATGTACAAACGTTCCGGTCATATAAAATCATGTTCTCATAAAAAATAAGTAATTTTTTTTTTAAGGAAAATGAGAATCCAAACAGGATGTGAGTGTCTCGAATGTTTAAGGCAATAAATACAAGTCAAAACACAAATGCCAGGAACCAGGAACAGCGGTCTCTTACGGGGACATTTGTTTAGCTTTCGTCTCCATGTTACGAAATTGTAGTTTTGGGCTTCTAATCCCGAATCACAATCATCAAGCAATTGATTATTTGGTCACAATTTTAGTCATAGTAAAACTCTTCTAAATCATTGACATTTGGACTTGGTCCACTTAAAACAGATGCTGAAATCTGGACAAATGGAATTGCCCCAACCGACTTGGTGGGTCCATGACCTTTTAATCAACCAACCTCCAATCCTTATCTTTTTTTAGTGCATTTATTTATTACTACCCATCGAGACATAGGCTATGCGAATCATCCGCAGCAAAAAAAATTCAAAAGTAATGTCAAAATACTCATTTGATATACTAAGATTTGTGTATCTGCTAACTCCTAACACAAGTCTCTTCGGACTTTTTTTTCCCTGTAATTTATAATATAATAGATTATACAATTATTATTATTTAAAAAAAAAGAGATATATGCAGCACGTGATTCATCCAAAATTTTATTAGTTGTTCGAAGATTAATGAAAATTTTAAAAAAAAAAGACAAAAGAAACATCATGTTAAAAGGACAAAAACTGAAAGATAAAAGAATTATTGATTGATGAAAGATCTTCCTTCCAACAAAACAAAACAAGTAAATCCATAATAGACGGTATAATGATAGTATAGTAGCGGAATAAGTATTTTGTCATGATAGATGACAAATCAGTGAAAATTTTTAGAAGTTGAGTAATGTTTAGTAGTTTAGTTTGATATATAATGGGGCGAGAAGGAGTTTTTTCTTCTTTTTTTTTTTTGGATAAGTAGTTTTGAAGTTGGGCAGTTTAATGAACTGTAGCGTATATGCTTATTGATTAATAATTAATTTAAAGAGTAAAATTGAAATTAAAAAAATTACACTAAATTGTTTACGCCAAATCAAACTCCTACTCCTTTGGTGCTGTAGAGATTTCTTATTGTGGAAGTAATGCTTTTATTAAGCCAAAAAATAAAAAGGAAAAGAGCCTGCTCATAGCTGCATTCTCTAAAACTTATTTTAAAAAAAAAATTCCCATAATTGGGACGATGTCACAAGATCACCGTCCTCATGGACCATTGATGTCTAGGCATCAGGCAAAAGCCCACGAATTGTTCTTTTGGGGGAAAAAGGGCCACAAATTAGGATCACAGTTTTCGTGGCCTGTCAACTTTCTCCCCATCCCTACTTGATCCAATTGGTTAATAAAAAGTGTCTGCAGAAAAAGCCCACCACCTGCGGCCATTTTACTCTGTACATACAGTAGCTATATTTGTACATCTTGCTATTTGGTGTATACAGCTACAAATAACGCTAGCCATGCAATTCTAACATGGTTGCCAATTTTGCGTTTTGACCATTCCATCTTTTTAAGTTTTTGATTAAGGTCCATCCAATGTCAATTAGAGTGATTGATATAGAAAACAATCAGAAATTTAGATTGGCTAATAGAGCTTTTACTCTAAAAGATACTAGTTGAAAAATAGTGTTTCGGCGAGAGAATTGGATTGGATGATAAGATATGTATTTGAATTTAAATCATCTCACTTTAAAAAATATATAAAAAATATTAAATTACACGAGAAGTCCTTATCTCACATTAAAAAAAAAAAAAAATGAAGGGCTCATTCCTCGTAACTACTAAGGTAAAAGCTAGAAACATTTTTGAGACAATCTTAAGGAACAGGTAAGTCACAGTTAATTTACGCTCTATGCAACAATTAGACCCGTATTAATGCTATGAACTTTTGCGACACAAGATTACCTTCGACCGAAGCAAGAGCCTTGTGAAATAAATATAACCAAGTTGGAAACCGACAAGAAAAAGCCTCAAATAGGGATTCCGTATTACGCATCACGCGCAAACCCTCCCCTATAAATTAGTCAGCAGCACTCCCCCAATTCTCACTCATCCATAGATGCCCCAAACTCCCCCACAAGTAAAGTAACAGCGACAAAATACTAACTTCTTCCTCTTATTCTCCTTCTCTCTCCTTTCTCTCTTTCCTCGTTCGATCGATCACTGTCCCTCACCATCTTCCCCAACGTCTGTTCCCCGGCCAACCAGAAAGATGTGTGCCACCGCCGTTCTCCGATCTCATGATTGCCTACGCAAACCCTATTACACTCGCCGAAACACCGCTAGTCATAATAACCCGAACCCTTCCGGATCTCGCCGCCGAAAACGGAGCCCCACTGGCTTCGAAACTAACGTCCACGATGGATCTAGGGTTGTGAACCCAGGTCTTCGCAAAGCTCCTACCTCGACTTCTGTTGCTGCCAAGAATAATCTCGTCATGGGCCAAGTTAAGATCCTGAAACGCGGCGAACCGTTGCCGGTGAATGATGACGATAAGAATAATAATAATCGCACTGGCAGCAAGAAGGCCATTTCGACTCCAATTCCAGCGACGGCGTCTGAGAAATTAGGGCTTGTGGGTCGCTGCGATGAGGATGATTTGATTTTGTGTTCAACGGGTCGGTTGGGCCCGGAACCCGAGATGGTTCAGAAGCAAATTAGGACTTCTGATTTTTACGCTGGATCGGGTCCCATAGTGGCTTCTCCTCCCCCGAGTTCGCTTCCCTTTCCTGCATTCTTTTCGAAGAAGGAGAAGAAGTTTGATGAGGCTACCAGCGATCTGCTTCGTTTGTTGAGGCTTGATTTGCCGTGAGCCGTCCTTACTTCCTTTAAAGTATATTACTGAGTGAATGGACGACCCTTGTTATCTTATCCGAATTGCGTGGCTAATTCGTATGGAAGAAAGTGGGTAGATCGGGTGGATTACGCTTTCTTTATTCTTCCTCGATATTTTTTTGCCAAGAGGGAGATTAGAGGAAGCAAACAAGCAAATGGGGCAGTGTTGTTGCAGTCTACTTGCAGAGGAAAGCTAAGCTAAAATGTCGAGGGGCACTTTTTCAATCAAAATGGAGCAATCAAGGCCTTTACTTGTGTGTGTTTGGGTTTAGAGCAAATTTGTGCTTTTGGAGATTAAGTTATGGTACTCTATTAGTATAAAATTGTATATCCTTCTAGTCTAATAGCATTTAATGGTACTCCAATGGAATGGTAGATGATTGGACGGAAAAAGAAGTTAAGTTATGTTTGTGGGATTTGGGGTATCTTACTTCCCCAAGCCTATGTGAAGTATTTAATAGGGCTTTTATGAATTTGTTTAACGTTATGTACTCTGGAGTTTAGTTGATGTGTTTAGCCCCTGTACTACTGATGTTTAAGTTGTATCCAATTGCAATAAAAGCTCTTAGCTGTGAATATGAGTAGCTTGCCTTCAACTTAGTTTTTAAGTTCTCAAGTTTTGGCTGATTAGATTGTGGTTGTGTAACTCATTATTATCCAGTTTACAAATGAATGACGTGTGCCCTGTATTGTCAAACGTTTGTGGGTTTCGTTATGTGGCAAGATCAAAGAAGAGTCTGAAAGCAAACGAAGCTTATGCGAAAAGATCTTGAATCTGGTTGAAGATGGAAATGAACTTTTGCTACGAAATGGTATCTCTAAGTTCCTGCAACTTTAGAAACAATAGAAGAAAAGAAAAAACGTAAAAGCCCAATGACTTGGTTTTTTCATTTCCTGAGACCAAAAATGGTTGAAGTTGATAAATTTCTATTATGAAGAGTTGCAGAACCTTCCAGCAAATTGACATTAGTCTGTTGGAAGAGTTGACATTTCATGGCATGTACTGACTTTCGGGTGAAGTAGTAAAGGAATCATGGTACCCGTCATTACAGGTATGTTTTTGCAATAAGCAAGTAGCATCTAATTTGTTTGTTTCTGATCTCTTTGAATATGTAGTTTCCTGTGAAAGGTAGTGTTTGTTGATATTGAAGTACGGACTCGACTTTGATGTTTTACATTGAAATTTTATGACCTTAATAAGCTCTTTATTAACTCAGAAATAGTATGTTCACTATGAGCACATGAAACTGCTGGATAGTTGGCATTTTAAGCGAAAGACACCTTTTAAACTTTTGTTTTGCTGTTTACTGAATTTTTTTTTTTATTCTTAGATGTTTTAACAGGAGGCTGTGCTGCTCATTTTGCTCCAATGCTAGTAGGTCTAATAGGGTTGCAATTTTTGGGTATTCTAAATGGTGTTGCACCTTTTTGGTAAGTCGGCAGTGCCCACTGAAAATGACCCTAAAGGTCACAATGTAAGTGATACAGATTTTGTAATTTTGTTAAGGCTCATTGACTCTGCCTTCATTTCTATTTCTGCATCTTAAGCACGGTTGAGATCAAACTGAATTTGTTGGAAGTTCATCTGTAGAGAAAAACATCAACGATATGTTATGTAGAATTTATCCACTGAATCTTGGTTTCTCATGATTTACCATGGATTGACACTAGACTCTCAAATATAGATCAAATAATTAGGTAAGCCTGAATATTTGGCTACAGTCTTGTACATCATGAGAACTGGTTTACATTTTTTGGCTCCTTTGAATTGATTGAAACACAGGCCTACTTAATTTGGCACTCCATTACATGAAGTGCTTTACATAAATAAATTAATTGCTAAAACTTGGTATTTTCATGATGCATTTCTTTAATTGCTATGTTACACGTCTTACTCTGCTCCATTCTTGGAAGACTCCAAATCCTTGGGGAGAACCCTCTTCCAAAACCAATGTTTTCTCCAGAGGAATACCATCTCCTCAATTGGAACACCCTTGGTTTCGGGTAGGAAAAGATAAACAAAGATTGTCATGATGGTAATCCAGCCCGCAAAGAAGAGGAAGATCCCAAACTTGAAGGCACAAAGGAGGGAGAGGAAGGCCTGGCCTATTGCGAATGTGAAAAGGAGATTTACAGCTACTGTAATGCTTTGTCCAGCTGACCGAATTTCTAATGGGAATATCTCACTTGGCACGGTCCACCCTAGTGGGCCCCATGACCACCCAAAAGCTGCAACAAAGAGGCAGATCACAACTACCACCAAAATGGAGAAGCCTTTAGAGAGTTCCCTGTCACTGCCAAATTTTAGCCCCAAGATAATTGCTACTATGACCTGTTTCACCATGAGACATAGCAATCAATTACAGTATGAGGTAATTGTGAAACAACTGATTTGATAATTTATGGGTCACTTGTTTTTGCGCAACTTAATCTTTTTGAATAATGGTGTACTGGTTTGCCTTTTCCTGTGTATTAGTTTAGCAGGTTATACAAACACAATGATTTGGTCACCCTGCTGATTGGTGGCTCTTGATTGTGTGGATCAAAATGAATCTACATCTTGCCATCTTTTACTTACCTTTTACTAGGTGGACAAACCAACAGGAGTTGTACTAAGAAACTTTTGCAAGTGAAATTCTTGCGAGGAAGGAGATTATGCTGCAAAGGCATATTCTTTTAAACCTTTTACTCTTATCATGTCCTTGTGTTGTTTTTAGTGTTTTGGCATATCCTCCAGCATAGATCTCTGCTACTTCTTTTTGAACTATTTTAGTTGGATGTAAAGGATTCCAGAGTTAAAAGATCATGCAGTGATATAACTATCTTTATAACAGTATGTGATTGCATTTTGGTACTCATTTTTCTTTCAGGTTTTCAATTTGGTGCCAACTGTCCAATTGTTGCTGTGCAGGATGTTATTTTTCTTACCTGACAAATAATCATTTGTATTCCCCCACCGATCAGTAAAACTCTACGGCCCCATCTATCAACTGTAGCAATTGAAACTAATGTTGATGAAGCCAGAACTGCTCCAGTCACTGCTGAAGAATATAGAGAAGCATTGCCTGCAAAACCCATAGTCTGAAATAATACTGGGGCATAGAAGAGAATTGAATTTATGCCTGTCAGAATCTGGAAAGTTGGCATGAAGATAGACATTATTAACTCCGGTCTGTGCTTCTTCTCAAGAATGTTTCTGAAAGGATGCTCAATTGAGTTTGCAAGCTCGCTTGCATCAATAATGTCTTGTAACTCAGCATGGACATTTGTTGTCCCTCTGATTTTTTCTAGAACTTTTTTTCCTTTTTCCTCTGATCCACGTTCAATTAGGCTGTTTGGTGTTTCTGGAAGTAGTATTCCTCCCACAGTCATTAAAATTGCTGGAGCAGCTGCCAGGCCAAGAGAGACCCTCCATCCCCATGGCCGTAGCTTCTCAGTGCCATAGTTGATCATGTTTGCTGTGAAGATCCCAAGAGTAGTTGCAAGTTGAAACATCATGTTGAGCCCTCCTCGGAGATGCGTGGGAGCCATCTCAGACAGATAAAGAGGAACAGCCTTACCAACAAGAAGAAAAGGAGTTTGCAGCTCTGGTAAGTGTTTGGCAACGAAAAGTGGCATTATACCAACTTCATGTATGTAAGCATAAAAACAGGCAAGTGATACGCTAAAACTGCTATTCAAAGATTGGAATGTATATAGAGGTTTTTCCTGTTATTTTATTTTTGTAAATTGTGAAGTTTGTAAGTAAACTTTATCTGCCATCTCTGGAGATTTGTTTAGAAGTCTCAAATGGCATACTTTAGGAACTCCATGATAGATAGAGTTTCACATGCTATGCTAGTCTTTCTTGAAGTTAAAAGATGTTGGGTAAATTCACCTGATTTCCAAACCCAATGCCAAAACCAAGCATTATCCTTCCAAGAATTAGCATTGCTAGATTTTGAGCTGATGCATCCAAAGCTGCTCCAATTGAAAAGCTTATTCCACCGCAGATTATACTTCCGCGTCTACCATATTTCCTTGTAATTGGAGATGCCACCAGAGATGAGACCAATCCCGCAAGGTAGAGAGAAGATGTAAACGATGCTAGGCCCTGGTTGTTGTACTTGCAGTAGTTGTTTTCATGGGCATGCATCTTATGTCTATAGACTGTCGGAAAGAACTTTGAGAGAAATCCATCCATGGAAGTTACTCCTCCTGTGCAGAGCAATTCACAAGGTCAGGTTTCCTTCAACTTCCCATTAGTCAGTCGTGCACACTACTTCGAACGACATGTTTTCTGGTCTTTTTTGGACTTAAATTAAAAAAAAAAAGGGAAGAAAAAGGTAATATTGTCAGAATCAGCACTTCTAGTTGTTATTGATTTATGAAGTTGTGCATTTCTTTTGTTTAGCAAATCATTCTACTGTACCATCTTTTCTTTAACGAGTTCTGGTTGTGTGTTTTAGCGACACCTTCAAGAGTGGTCGACTTTGAAACATAGGCAGGAATTGTAACTATAAATATGAATTATCAGGTCTTCCTGCAGCAGCCTTGTTTTAGGGAAAAAAAAAAGCAAGTTTGTGGATCATCTCTTAATATCCAAGTATGATATAATGAAATTCGGGACTCCGATGGTAGTAATTTGAGAAATTACTTCTTATCTTCGATATCTCTGATATAAACATGTAAAGAAATCAATTGCTACAGCAGAACATCAAATAGAATATGCAGCTTTAACCGTACGGTGAACTCGAGGATCCTGGTCCTATTTTTGTTTCTGCAGTTAGGATACCTTTATCCCTGTTTATTCGCAAGAGTCAGAAAGAAATTCTTTTGATTGTGCTGAAAATGACGGTGTACTGTTGGGAACTTGAAATTGCATGTTCTTGATGTACAAAAAAGATTTACCTGAAATTCCGATGTCATATCCAAAGAGCGACCCTCCAACGGCAGCAACAATGCAAGCGACGATTACATAAGCTGTGACCCTCCCTTGGTACTGCTCTGCTCTCTCCTTGGACACACCTGTGGGAGCTGACGAGCCACCAGCCATTGCCGAATTTCTTCCTCTCACAGTTTTAGCACAGAAAACAATGAAGGGGAAACTGTTCACTCAGGAATGGGGGAGATCGTCGTCTTCATATGCTTGTTTGTTTATATATATAACTGAACTGCGGTCAAGGTTTCCAGCTAGTATTTTGCAGCTCCTACTTTAAACTCTTAAAGAATTGTTGGCCATCATCTTGGGAACTGTCCTCTCTTTGTTCAACTTGAACCGGAGTGCTTTCCTCTGTCTTTTTTTTTATCTGTACCCCGGTCCCCTGGTTTACTCTGTACAAGTCTGTGTCTGACTCTATATCAGTGTATGCAAGTTGCGAAGAATCCAGTTAGGCCCGTCGGCTGTCGATAATTGAATATTCTTAATTGTCAGTTTGTGCTGTCAAGGGTTTTGAGGTGGTGGGAGTTTCATAGTATTTGACTTTTTGTTTGCACCTTACATTTCTCCCCGCTACATGCCAAATTGTGACATTGGATTTGGACTCCTCCTAAGAGGGGAGGACTTTCTTCTTCTTGAGATGTTTCCCATCGGAATTTTTTGGTACGCTCAGGCGATATGAAATACGTGTCAGTATGTCATTCAGACGCATCATTGACTGATATGTTCGTCTTTTATACCGCTACGTCATTGACATTCATGTGGCAGAGGTTGAAAAAAATCTTTTTTTATAAGTAAATTTTATATATACTAACGATATATATTATTATAATTAAATATATAATATATATATAAAATTAATCTTTTGGGTAAATATGCAATGGGATATTATCTGGTCAGCACTGTCTTTCAAATCTTCTGTCTAAAAAACTATTAACTTGGTTAGTGCGTATTAATGGCGTGCATAATTATCAGCTTTTATAGTAAAAAAAAAAAAAAACCATACATCATTAACACCCCCGATTTGCTGTAGAGTGGCGCACTTATCCAGATTAGAGGTTGTCATGGATAAGTACTCATGATTTCTGACTCAGAAGTTCTGAGAATCCGCATTGATTTGTGTACACATATTATGATCTACGAGCTTTTTGGTGCGGTTGCTATTTAATCACTGTTCCATGCATGAATCGAAGTAGGCACGACGAAGCCAGGAATTAATATTACATTTCCATGGAGTTGGAGGAATGCATTTTTGGTTCTCCTTGCGTGGCATTTGTGTGTTTTTTTATTTCTAAAATTTCAGCAAAAAATAAATCTAGTCCCTAATGTTAAATACTTGGTGCAATGTTAATCCGTGACAAGAATAAATTCGGCCCTAATGTTATCAATTTCGAGTAGATTTAAGTCAATTGGCGGAATTAGTCACGTGTATTTACATGTTTGCTGAATTAAATTTCTTTAAAAAATAATTAGCAACCTTGAACGATCAGAATAATTAACATGATGGCACGTTAGTAACTAATAATTAACCGAGAGAGAGAGAGAGAGAGAATTTGTTTATCTATCTAGATAAAATAAAGTATTACAATTTTTTGCTTAGGGGTAGTGGGAATACAAAGTGAAAATCAGCTTTGGATCGATCAATTGGGTGCTCCAACTTATTTTAAATTTTTAGTTTAAAATTTTCCTCCTTTTTTTTATACTTATTTAGTTAGCACATGAGTTTTTAGTTCTTACTTTTATTATTTAAAATTAGCAACTATTTTGCTTCTATATTTTAAAATTTAATTTTAACGGACACATGATTAGACGTGACTAAATTCTATTAGTTCTTTGGTAAAATAATTCTTCAGATGCCTAAATCATTTGGATACATTGGGGACCGAATTTTCTCTCGTCTGAATTTTAGGGACTAAAACTGTACATGTGCTAAACATTCAGGACTAGACTAGTTCTTGCCAAAATTTTAAGGGCTGGAACCGCATAGGAACTAAAGATTAAGAACTAAAATCTCAATTTTTCCATATTTCCTCGAGCGGTTCCTTTCCTTTGATGGGTACATCACGGAGCAAGTTAATGGCATATGATGATTTTGCATTCCCTTATTTGGGTTCCCTCAGCTGCTATGTTGGCTGAAAACTTTGTAATTACAAACAGTTTATCCAGTGGGAAATTTAATATCTCTACCCTTGAAAATACTTGTCCCTGGACTCGTTGTACACAAACCAAAGAAAATGTTTCTTAAATACTAAGGCAAATTATTCTTTACTTGGAGGAGTAATTTATCTCTTTCATGCTTCTGGACTTTAGCTGATGCTGCCTATTGGCATATTGAATTTGATGTGTTGTTTTTAGCTAATTAGGGAAATGCTCTATGCATGAAACACAGCTCCGATCAGTTGCTTGTTTCAAAAGCACTACAATATGGTTTATTTGAAGCATGGTAATCAAGCTTTCCCAGATACAGGGGATACATAATGCGGCAGAGAATGTTGCATGAAGCTGAAAAAACAGCTCTGACTGTTATTGTCTCGTGCTTTCATTGACGTTCTGATACATTCCATTTTTTTCACCTTAATTTTCTGATTAGTGATTTCATGAAACTATACTAGTCTTCGTGTCATTACTCATCATTCTTTTCAACTTCTGGATTCTCCGATACAATCTTCTTCCAGAACCAATGCTTTTGCCATAACAGTATCATCTCTTCTATGGGCACTCCTTTTGTTTCTGGTAGGAATATATAAACGAATATTGTCATGACGGTGATCCAGCCTGCGAAGAAGAGGAAAATCCCAAACTTGAAAGCACAGAGGAGCCCGAGGAATGATTGTGCTATGATGAAAGTAAAGAGAAGATTGACTGCCACTGTAATACTCTGTCCTGCCGAGCGCGTCTCCAATGGGAATATTTCACTTGGCACGGTCCAACCAAGCGGACCCCAAGACCATCCGAAGGCCACAACAAAAAGGCACATGACCACCACCACGAGGACTGAAAAGCCTTTTGACAGTTCCTTGTTGTTGCCAAATTTGAGGCCCAATATTATGGCAACAATAGTCTGTTTTGAGAACAGAATGTAAGCATAAAAAGTTAAAGGTGAATGCTGAAATGCTTACTAAAGTTGTTTCACATGCATCATTTGAATCTTCGAGTGTACCCTGCCTGAACAATGTGATCACCTGTGGGTGGGTGTTGGGTAATGGAGGAGGATAAGAGTGTGTTATCATCGTTCTTGCCCAGTTGAATCACATCTGGACGCTTTTCGTTTTGGGAAAAGATTATTTGTTGGATATTGGTTGTAATTATACTTGTTATTGAGGATATGGGTGTGCAACATGGAGCATTGGTGAGCTTTTTACCTGGCATGTGATCATTTGAATGCCTCCACCAATCAATAGAAATCTTCGACCCCATCTGTCTACCGTTGCCATGGAGACCAGTGTTGATGATGCAAGAACAGCTCCGGTCAAAGCCGAGGAGTACAGGGGAGCATTTCCCTTGAACCCCATGCTTCGGAACAGGACAGGGGCATAGAAGAGTATTGAATTTATGCCTGTCAGAATCTGGAACATTGGCATGAAGATTGCCATCACCAGCTGTGGTCTGTTCCTTTTCTTTAGAATGTCTCTGAATGGATGCTTGATGGAGTTAGCCAATTTGCTTGCTTCCACCATGTCTTCAAATTCTGCACTCACATTTGGAGTTCCTCTTATTTTTTCCAACACTTTTCTTCCTTCTTCTTCCAACCCCCGTTCAATTAAGCTGTTTGGTGTCTCCGGAAGGAGCAAACCTCCTACCGTCATCAAGCAAGCTGGTGCTGCAGCTAGACCAAGAGAAAGCCTCCATCCCCATGGGTGGATCTTATTAGTTCCGTAATTAATCATGTTCGCTGAGAAGATTCCAAGAGTTGTTGCTAATTGAAACATCATGTTTAGCCCACCTCGGAGATGTGCTGGTGCCATTTCAGACAAATACAACGGAACTGCCTTGAGCAGCAACAGAGAGCTAATGTTTCTAAGTGTGCAGGCGATTTTATGGATTATGTTCATGTTTATAGGAAATATTTAAAGACAGAGAGGGGCACCTGATTTCCAAAGCCAATACCAACGCCCAGCATGATACGGCCCAAAAGAAGCATAGCAAGGTTGATAGCTCCGGCATTGAGGGCTGCTCCAATCAGGAAGCTGATTCCACCATAAATTATACTTCTCTTACGGCCACACTTCCTGGTTACAGGCGAGGCTAAAAGAGATGCAACCAAACCAGCTAGGTACAAAGATGAGGTAAATGCTGCAAGACCTTCATTATTGTACTTGCAGTAGTTGTTTTCATGTGCATGCTTTTCGTTTTTGTACACGGTGTAGAAAAATCGGTGGAGAAAATCATCCATTGATGCAACCCCACCTGTTCATGTAAAGGAATAAACATTCACTAACCCATTTTAATTTGACGAGAGGCATGCTCGGAAATTCTTGATGACCATGCAGCTAATTTTTCTGCACCAGAAACCCATTTAAGAAGCAATCTCTGAAATGGGACAAAGTACCTGGATTCGGAAGGAGTCCTTGAATATGTAATGCTAACCAGGGAAATCCACAAAAGAGTTGTCTGATCTCTTAGAATTAGTAGTGATGGCCTAATTGATCTATGCTAAGCTGTTGGTGGCCGAATAGACTAATCCACATCTTCCTTAATCATTAGCTTATTTAAAGGTTAATACCCTTGTATCTTCCCTGATTACTGGAAAAATGATCAATTGTTCATCTTTAAGCTCCGGTAGTAAGCAAACTCAATGTGTAACATGTGATAATGTAATCTAGGAAAAGGGAATGAATCACCTGAAATTCCAAGGTCATATCCAAATATGGATCCTCCGATAGCAGCAACCAGACAAGCAATGATCACATAAGGGGTGACTCTACCTTGGTATTCTTCAGCCCTCTCTTTGGCCACCCCAGCTGGAACAAGTGACCCCCCTGCCATGCTCGCTTCTTTCTTCTGTCCCTAGCTGAACTGGAGATTGAAGGCACAAAGAGAGAGTCAGAGAGAGGAGTTTAACTAAACTGGCTTTTCTTTCAAGTGTTGAGTATGCCAAAGTTTTCACTTGATCCCAAATTGTATACTAAAAACTAGTTCCGAGCAGGAAGCAATAGTCTAATACTTTCTTCAGATGAACCTCTTTTAGTCTAATACTACTAGTCTGACAAATAGACTTTCTTCAGCACCACTTATTTCTCTCAGTCAATACATCTGTCCGCATGGCACAGCTCTCACTTTTTCTGGAAATTTCAGTGTCAAAAAGAGACTTGCACTTAGCCAAAGAGATGTAAAATAATCAACTTTTTTTTTTTTTTTTTTTGTTGGTTCTTTCTGTGTGTAGTTATTATCACTTTTGGATCTTCTATACGTTTGTTTCAAAGATGGGTTTTGATTCTTGTAGGCTTTTCTGTTCTGACGGGGAAATTTACTCTACCTGTTCTTTCTCTGTTTTTATATATAACTGAAAAAAGAAATACCATCATCACATGCTGCTCAGAGTTCTGGAAACTCTCTTCTTTTCATTTTTCCCCACTTCTTCTTGTCTTGTGGAATAGAACTATAAGAAGAAGGGGAGGGGAATGAATGAATGACCAAACTGACACAAGGGAGGTCTGTTATGTTATGAAGAGACGTTGCACAAGCAATCTGTCAGAAAAATACGGATCGACAGGCTCTCTGGGTTGCTGGGTAAATTGGAGCAAGCACGGATTACGTGGGAGGCCCGGAACCAAGATGATCGACTTGTATCAATTCTATATTTTATTTTATATTAATTAAAGTGGACATCAGCTCAGCTGCGATAATAATCATAATAATGTGTCTGGGTTTTGAATGATAAAAGCATAAAAAAAAAAAAATCATTAGATTTTATGTAATTAAATGTACCAGACCAGACCAGGCCAGAAAGAAGATGCCAGGCATTGCGATCTGCAGGTCTAAGAAGTAAGTTTATTTATTTATGAAAAGCAGCGCACTTGTAACTCGAAAGTGAAACGAAACGAATGCTGCTTTCCATATTTGTGTCTCTCACCCAATCAGCATCACGTATTTGGCAAAGGTGTCCAATCTCAATCTCACCACTTAGCTAATTGATCACTAAATAAAGTTTTCTTTTTTTTGGCTAAATAAAGTTAACACTTTAACATTGACGACCATGACTACGATGCAGAAGAAAAAATGGTCTGAAGTCTTTAATTGATTCCAGATTGGTCCTCATCAGTAATCACTCCCTTATCAACGAATTCAAAGCCCAAGTAATTACTACTTTCTTTATTTTTCCTTATGAAAGGCCCTTCCGCAGGGACGGAGCCAGAAATTTATTTTTGGGGGGCTGAAGTGTATTAAAAAAATTTTTTTGTGACGAAATAAATATATTTAATAAGTAAAATTTAGAATCAATAATTATAAAAATAATAAAAACATATAATTATACATACCCAAAAATTTGTTATTGATTAACACTTGAAGTATTGGTAGTTGTTGCACTCGAATAATTCAATTCTTTTTTTTTTTAAGGTTGAGAACTAGAAATAGTAATTTATTTTAACTTTTAAATCTTGAGAACTAAAAGTGCATTTTTTTTTTCAGTTTGGTAAAATATGACGACTTTGTAAAGCTTAACACCTGCTTGAGAGGAAAAGTAAACACTGATGGTTTACTCAGGAATAGAAAAATAATGACAAGTTGAACAACAGAAAAGAACATTATAATGTACTATGTGTCTAGCTTGTGTACAGAATACAGTCTTGATCCAATTGTGATCCATGCCACTTAGACTAAGCAATAACTGTTAAAACTTCAAATTCATTCACAAAATGTAATAAGGTCTCCAAAAGAGAGAATGGGAAAGACTTTGAGAAGTTCCATTTGCAGTGGGCAAAGACTTGACGTACTCAAACTAAACAAAGCTGGATATTTGGAACTTTCTTGACTTTAGGCTGCCCATCCAGCATTACTACTCAATTCTGCACAGACTGGAAACCACCTCAATTGCCATAAATTCCATACAAAAGGTCAATGTCCACTTTGGGGACCAGGCCAGTTAAGAAGCACCCAAATAATGAAAGCACCACACCCATCCATTAATTTAACGTCGCGTTATCAAGCTGGCATATTGCCCATGAATTCTTCATCCTCTTAGCCAGGAACCTTCTTGTCTCGTTCTCACTCGGCCAAGTATAAAAAGACATTCCCAATGCTGATGTCCTCGCTCAAATCCAAAGCTATCTGATCATAAACTAGCATATAAATTAACCCCCGCTTCAATTCTTCTCTAGAATTTCACCTTACGACTTTCATACTAGGGATTTCTTCCGGTTAGTATTATTACCAAAATCTAAACCAATGGCCGCCGGAATCCCCTATATATAGGGGGTTTTCCGGCGGCTTGGGGGGGGCTTAAGCCCCCACCAGCCCCCCTTAAATCCGTGGCTGCCCTTCCGGGCTACTTGCATTCTTACCAAATTATCTTGTGATTTTTTTTTTTTTAGAAGATGAATTATCTTGTGATTAAGAAGACGGAATTTGAACACGTAATTCCATTATTTTATTAACGTTGTGGGTGGTCATGCATGTTCAATGTTTGATGTAAGTTATCTGTCTATTCCAAATCCCCACCTCATTACCAACTGTCATTAAGAAGAGCTCGTGTATTAGAAGTTTTTTTTTTTTTTTTCTAATCAGACGACAACAACCAATGTTACTCCTACTCTTACTCTAACCTATACCAAAAAGGGGAGGAGTCCAATGGAAAAACTGACGGAAACTGAACCACTGTCAAGTCTTTTCTATTAGAGAAGTTGTCAGCATCCTCAATATAGCTAATGGGCCATTGCTAACGCTATGCTAGCCTGTTTCATCTAGGAATGTAATCGAACCGAGCTGCTCGCGAGGGTCAAAAGCTTGACTCGAACTCAATCAAACTGAATTCGAGTCGAGTTCGAGCAGCTCGATAAGGTTATCGAGTCGAGTTCGAGCATCGCTTCTCGACGAGTCTTATCGAGTATTTTAATTTTAATATTTAATATATTATTATTATAAAATTACCCTTATATCCAAAAGAATTGTCGAATTTACGAAACATTTCAAGTCATATAAAAATTTTAAAAGGATAATAATTTCTTTTCGTTCAAAAATTATCAAGAAAAATGAAATTTAATAACTCGAGCTTGACCGAGCTCGATAAGGCTCGCATGGACTCGAGCCCATGTGAGTCAAGTTCGAGTATTGCGAGCAACCTTCGAACTCGAGCTCGAGCTCCAATAATACTACTCGCTCGAGCTCGAGCATCATATCTATATGTCGAGTTCGAGCTCCAATAATACTACTCGCTCAAGCACCATATCTATATGTCGAGTCGAGTTCGAGCATGGCGATATTCGAATTCGACTCGACTCGATTACAACCCTAATTTCATCCCCTATCCGCTTGCTCACGGAATTAAAGTGGGCCCATCATGCTTATGGATGGGATGCATTAACACTAGGTTCCGTTTGAAGAACATCCAACTTAGCTTCAAGCGGTAGGCAGTTTATAGTTGCCGGAAATTTTTTTATTTTATTTTTATAGTGGCAGGAAATGATCTCAGGATTTCCCATGTGAATATTAATGGCTGTGATTGATGTTCTTCATGTCCCCCTCTGATTTTTATTCGGAAACCAATTCTTAAGTTCGCCACTGATTGTAACAAATAAGGTGATATGGTTGTATATCCACCGGCCAAAATAAACTCTTGCAGGCCAACCACCTGTTCATTTCTCTGTCTTCAAAATTATTAGTTTCAGATTACAGTAAAATGAGCTTATCCGTCGTATATACCATATATTCCCTAAAGGTTAGAAGAGAAAAACAGGAAAAAAGAAAGTAATAATGCAACACTGGTTCTTTTACTAGAGGAAAAAGAAAAAGAAGGGATATCCATTCACCAAATTTTTCACCTTTTTTTTGTTTTTTTAATTTTTGTTGGTGAGGACCAAATTTTCACTTTCATGGAACCCTACCCTTTGCCAACAATCTGTCACAGGCTGAGAGAGAGTTAATTCCGATGCCCTATCATATTAGTGGTTGATAAAGATCCCTTCTCTTCGGTTTCCTTGGACAAAGTATAATGTCTCGTTTGAGTGCATTTTTTGTCATCCATTTTCTCCTTCAACGCTCAAAAGATACCACTCAATAGGCCCCTAAAAGATAACGAGTTGATGAATGAATCAGTAGCATTAATTAAGCAGCCAGCCATTTTGGTACCAGTTCAGATGATGAATAAACGAGAATCCTTACCAAATCCCTGAAGCCCTTTTGACTTTACTTCTGCAAAGATTCAAGCGAAATCGGTCCATAAGTTACTTCAGCACAATGATAATACCAGCGGACGCATCACAATCCAACAACAATATATTCTGTTTACCTATCTCTTCCTTCAAATGCATCGTTAATCTCCTCCCCTGTCGGTCTTTCTGGGAAGCTTGCCAAGGGAACATATTTCTCCTTGCCAGGTGACTCATCTATCCTCTTGAATAACTCGTAAGCATATGGATGGGACATCCTGAAATATCATTACTACTGAAGATGTCAACTTTATTGGACGAAATTTAAGCTGGAAATACCTTTCCAAAAAAAAAATTCGAAGGACAAAATCCATAATCCGCCGCCACACAAGACTGTTGATGAAGTGGCCCTCTCACCATACAAAAGAACAAAAGGTACAAGTGATGGATTTACAGGCACTCGGGTAAACTCATCTCAAGTAAATAATTATTTCATCGTTGTTTCTGATAAGATTTACTCCATTCAGTCAAAGTAACCGTAGGAGCAGAAAAGCTAAAGACTCAGTGTATTTCATCTATGGGGGTGAAACTACTGCGTTAGAACTGTGGCGTACGCGGCTCGGTTTCATAATCATAAAACACTTTTTCCATTCCACTGAAGTGGTTTGAAGAATTTATGTGCGGACATGTCATAAATTGCATACAAAATAGATACGTAAAGTTTTATTTTGCACTGTTACTTGCATAACAAATTTCAAAACATGGATGTTTACATCTAGCCCTCTGTAGTGATATCCTTTCTGCACTGGTGCTGCTAATCATAGCATTTATGGAGATATAAATGGAAAATACTGCCGAGTTGAGCTTTAGAAATTTGTTTTGGCTTTATAAATGTGCTAGTGTGATTGTATGAGCAAGGATCTTACCGGAGAGCACCCATAATAGGATACTGTGTTCCTGCATAATAGAGCAACCGAAAGACGTAGCATATCTCGAATGATGCAGCATACTCCAACCTCTTTTCTCGACCCATTGTCTTGCAGAAGATGAAATCGAGTGTTAGATGATGACTAGTGATTTGTTAAATAAGAGATTTACTGGTCTGCACTTACTTGCATGATACCGCTTGAGCCAGGCACGTCCTGATATTGAAGTCAGTGATGATGCAATCAGTATGCATAATAAGGTCTTTTTGTCAAGATATCAATGGAGAACATTTTAACCACGTTATGGTGCAATAGAAAGAAATGGATCCAAAGTTTGGTCATACTACTGCACGGTATTCATATTATCCACTTGAAAAATACAAGCAAGTACTTGTTTATTAGTATTTGCATTTGCTAAGGATTTTAAATACCACAAACATCTCAGCAGCCCTCCTACTTTACTGGAGATGAGCACGAAAGTGACACTAGGATAAATGACAAATCTAGTTGGTATTAACTTACTTTTCAATAAACATCAGAAAGTGGATTACCATCTGATAGAACTAACAGGAGAAATAGAAAAAAATAAAACAAATGTACAATGAGAAATGAGGCACACAATTTACTGATGACTCGAGCATTTATGAGATTGCAAGTCTATAAGACTGCTCAGCAGGGACAAATTGGAGATTTAGGATCTGAAATATCTGTGCAATTTCGTATATCTTGGAGACATGCCAAAGTGTGCAAAATTTTTCCCATCAAGACAAAACTACTCAAACCATTCCAGATGAGTCAAAATCAAAGTTTGTGACAAAAAACATCTGATTTCAAAGTTGTGACAGAAAACATATGATTTCAATCTGTGCCTTTCCTTCGTAGTATAGTCCTGTCAAAAACTCTTGATTCTAAACTCATTTCAGGCATCCTTTAATTAGCGTCCTACGAACAACGAGTACAACCACAAATTTAAACAAAATGAGTCAGCTGTACCGTCTAACCTTCAGTCTAGGATTTACAAGAACAACTGGACGGGTACCAGCTGCATCAGTCATAGCCTTTAGATCCTGCAATATTCAATTCCACATGATTGATGAATAGAAATTGACAAATCATCTCTGTATGGTGCAAATGAAAAACAAGTACTCATTTCCTCTTGATCTGCTCACATCAATAATACAATTTCCTACTGCATTTTGAGGTGCCACTAAAATGTACATATCATCCTCTTCATCAACCTCTTTGGCACCTGTGACACAAAATAAACACGGCTACTGAATTAAAAAATCATCACGCGTAAGTCATATTTAACCAAATCAATTGAGACAAGCTGCTAGTATTGATTATAGAACTGCACTCTAACTACACCACTAAGTAGGGTAATCATATGTGACTTCAGGAATTTCTGGCAGATTATTCACCAAACCAGTGGATGGATGAAATAAAACTGTAGACTGTCCAGTCTACATTACCAAACAGAGTCTTATCTTCAGGAAACAAAAGCACACAACAACTAAATAAAAATTCATGTCTAAATTGACCATCAGACGTGTGAAATCTAAATAACGAGAAGTCGATTTTGACAAAGTGGGGCAAAATTTTCAGCTAGAATGCAGCTGAAAAGGAATGGCTTACTTAAGTCTTTCATAATGGGTCGCATAAAAAATATTGGCAAAATTAGTGTTGTTCATTACCCAGAATAAGCGCAAAAATTGTATTGCAAGTACCAGATGAAACGCATTTATTCGAAAACTTTGAAATGAGCATGAAAATAATGGAAAATTGGGTTACAAATACTATTTTGGCAACCATAGGGAGCCGACTGAATCCACAGAATGTATCAGTAAAACTAATTAGAGCAGAGCATGAGGAAAAAAAAAAAGAAAGACGTTAGCAAATTACAGAATTTTAAGTAATAATTATCTGATTTATTTACTACCGATTGAACCAATCTTGATAAAGGTATCCTTAGCACCATATTCTCCCCAGTCCATGAACTCCAAGATCTTTCTACTTCCTGCAAGCTGTAAGGGCATACCAGCAAGTGCTCCTTGTCCCATTGACCCTTGAACACAAACCTTAGAAAAGGACCCATGAATCTTCAGTATAGCTAAACCGGTTACCATTAAAAATTATTTGATTCCTGAAAGTACAAAAATAAGCATGATAGGTGTACCTTAACATGTTTTCCATCATCAGCAAATGAGAGAGCAACAGTCCGAACAAGTTCCATCAAGGTACCTATTCGATAAACATCCTGTAAATCATAAGATATGGTTAAACCTAGACAATAAACGTGCGATCAAACAGACAAGAGGGCCTTACCATTTCAGGGTTCAGCTCAGGAATATTAATCTCCACCTGTCAAGTAGCACAATTAAGTGTTTAGTCTACACCCAAATATGTAGCCAGTACTAACTTCACTAGGAAGTAACTCTGGAGGACTGTACAGTAAAAAGTTACAAACTAACCATTACTTCGTATCTTCAAACTATCTCAGAAAAGTACCTTTAATCGAGTTTTCCCATCATTTATGGCTCTTGTTGTAGCTTGCAGAACATCGTTATAGAAGTATTCCCTGATTTCTCGCGAATGAGGAATGTTATTCAATCTAGTTGGAATTCCTCTCCAACTCTCCTGTCAAAGGCTAAATCAAATAATTGATGCAAATATGGAGCTAGTTACACTTTATCAATTAGATAATGAAATGGAATTTTCAGAAATCATACATTGTAGTTTCATAAATAGCAAGAAGATACCTTGCTTGATGTTGGCCTAACCAGATAGTTGTCACTCCCAACCACTTTTTCAAGAGACAAGCAGCAGAATCAAGAAGCAGGTCAGTTTACATTAACAAAACGTTGTTATTGGTAGATTACAAGTAGCAGCTTACAACTGTCTGCTTAAGGTATATTGTATCAGGATGTGGTATCCAAAAATTACAGACATCGCATAAAACCTCTATGCCACGGGTAAAAGATAAAAGATGATGCGAAAATGTTCCTGCTTCTACATGCTAACAGTACAGATGACATTTCTATTAAGTAACAGAACATGAACGGTAGGAATGTTCAGATTCCAAATACAACAGGAAAACTTATAAATAACAATTTCTTATTGCAGAAGATTTATTCTTTTTATTTATTCTGCATTAGCCATGCTAAATCATAACAGAGAGATATCAAGTTGAATGGAACTTGACTGGTTGTGACAGATTTGATTTTTGATGGCCCGTTTCCAGCTTTGCCAGGCAACAGCTTCACAATTGTGATTCATTTATCAATTCTTAATTAGGATTGAAGACTAATGGAAAATGCAATAAAAAATTGCCTTCTGCTGAGTATGGTAGAAAATTTTCAGATCCAATGTTCCAGGATCCAAGATCAAAAGATAACAAAAGAGATTTATGCAGACACCTATAACAACATTATGTAATCTTCATTTTAGTAACTTCCATGTATCCAAATGGACTCAGAACAATTGGCTACTTCATGTTATGACCATAAACACTGAGGGAAACAGATAATCACTGATATAGAAATAAAACTATGAAAACCAAATATGAGAAATATACTAGACTACTAGAAATAACAACATTACTGCATGCATACATATCATAGACATTTGGACAAAAAACCTGGGAAAAGTATTTAAGCATGTAATATTTGATATTTGGTACTAACAAGGTTACCTAATTTTTCAGTCTCTTCATTCTCCTTCACATGCAACAACAAAGTTTCTACATCTTTAAAGACTACTTCTTTGAGATGGTTTCCATCAACCTATGTATCATGGTATAAATAGTTAAAATCACTGAAGAACTTGTGGTCAAAACTGAAGAAAAAAGCTCGATGAACATGATTAAAATAGCAAAAGTACCTTCTTTAGAATATCCCTGTATATCGGTAAGATTGCTTCTGCATTTTTTTTGTATATTTTCAAACGTGACTTGACCTGAATGTACACATTTACAATTCATGATGTAATAAAAAAAGGGGTTTTGAGAAGTCATCAATCCTTTGATAGAAAAATCAAATTGTATTGACACACATACACGTCTGTTAAAATATCTGCAGGTCAAAGCATGTCCAAAATGGGGGCATGGGGTAAAAAGATAATTAATTCATCTCAAACATAAATAAAGTGTAACTAGAAAACACTTGCATAATGATAATTGCAAATCTCTTCTCACTGCATACCCATACAATATGCTAGATTCTACAATCTATTCAGTTTTGGACTCAAGAATTGCTGAGATTAGTTAAATTTTAGTAATTTCAGACTTTTCTCATATTGAAAACCCACAAATGTTCACAGGTACTAGTAACTCTTGCAACAAAAGTTGCCAGCAGGTGGCTATAATGAAAACTACAAATAGGAATCTAAACCTGTAAGTTGTCGACTGGATTCAGTCTAAGAACATCAAGTATGATATCCTAATTAGAGTGATTTTTTGGCTAAGGTCTCTATATGCACATTGTTGTAAAAGTGTAGCAACCTGGTCAACTTACCTTCTCCTCAGTATCATCAGGTCGAGTGACAAGCCTATCTCTAATTTCGTCATTCTCTGGAGGGAAGTTAGTAATGTGGTATATTTTTCCCGTTACAGGATCTAGCCTTCTGCCAACACCTCTGTCTACTAGAATCTCATCAGGAACCTAATTGCAACGAGGTAAGATTCTTTGCTAAATTTTGGAACTATACAAACCAGCAGTGAACAAAATATTGAATTAGCGAGCAAGTGAAAATACATCGAGCACAATATAGACATCAGGTCTAATCTTCATTTCCTCCAGGCTCTGCGCTTGAGCAAAACTTCTGGGGTACCCGTCCAGAAGCCAACCGTTTTCTTTAGCATCTTTCTGTGCTAATCGTGCTTTTACCATCTGGAAGGCAAAAAGTGTCAAGACATTTTTATATTCACAAGAAAGAAAGCAACGAAACAGGCAACAACCAAAAGCATGTCCTCCGCTGTCATACAGCAGTCACAATCTCATCTGGTACGAGTCGACCAGAACTCATGTACTCCTTTGCCCTGTTTCCGATGTCACTGCCAGCTGCTACTTCAGCACGTAAAAGGTCTCCAGTTGATACGTGCACCAATCCAAACTGAAGAACAAGACAGGGGAATGTAATCATGGTGGAAAACAAAGCAAAAAAAATTTTCCTCAGAGCAATGAATAAAGAAAATCAAGTCACCTTCTTGACAATCATCTCACACTGAGTCCCTTTACCAGACCCAGGAGGCCCAGATATCATCACCTTCAAGGGCTCACCTTTTGAGCATATGACCTTTAACCCCTGCTCCCCCAGGAAAGCGTTCAGCAATCAATAAAATGGACTTCAAAAACCAACGTGTTTGTATAATAGTATATTGCTCTCGTGCAAACCAAAGCTGGAAGTAAAGGGACAAACCTGCTTACTACATTCTTTTTAACTAATTAAAATTGCGGTTCGAGTTGGGCTTGATTGTTATTCGCGCTGAACTGAAACAAGCTTTTCCCGAGCCAAACTCAGATTTTTTTTTTGGGTAATCAGTAAAGATTAAGGAGCTAATTTGAATACTTAACCAAACAGATATTTTGTTCGGGTTTTGTTTGATCATTAGACGAGCCAAATACTACACCTACCTCATGGTACTGATCAAGTAAGCTTAGTTTGTCTTTCAGTCTTAGTAAAACAACAACAATGCTTGCTTACCCAAAAAAAAAAAAAAAACAAGAAGAAGAAGAATGCTATTAAAAGAACTGCGGTGTGGTATGTACTAACCTTATGCTTGGGTTTAGGATTGAGATTGATAGATGCATCATGGAAGCTGCACGATGAAAGTCTCAGCTTAGAAGCAGAAGAAGAGGATAACGATGGTGATGATGCGAAGGAGAGGGAAAGGCAAAAGGGGGAAGTAGAGAGACGGGGAGTTGAAGAAGGGAAACTGTGACGGTGGGGAAGAGACGGTGAACAGTTTAACATCATCACAGCAGAAGCAGTGAACTCAATCTAACTGGTAACTGGTACTTCCACTTCCAGTTTCAGATTTCTTTTTTTTTTTTTTAAAGGTGCAAAGAGGAAACTGGGAAGAGCAGCAGGGGAGCTTTTGAGAGCGCCAGAATTAACGAACGATGCTCACCACACACCCCACTTCCCCTTGTCCTGCTGGATCCTGTAGCCCATGCCCTGCTGGACCAATAGCCTTTTACCTCTTTCTTTCTTTTTTCTTTTCCTTTGTTCCAATTTATTTTTTTTAGGGTACGTAATATTGACATGATGAGAATGAACTAATTCCCTCCTAGTCATTTGATGGTTTCCTTACAGTTTTTATTACTACTAGTGTCGCAAAGTTTTTTTTTTTTTGTTTGAGTACTTAGTGTAGCAAAGTGATAATGGTCCAATTTAGGTCCCAAGTTTTACAATGCTAAACATCTCTCATGTAAATATGTAATGGTCGGGGAGGATTTCCGCATTAAACAAAATAAATAAATCAATAAATCTCCTTCTTCAATATTGTGGCCGAGAGTAAAACGCTCAAGGCAGCCAAGTCCCTCCTCCAGCCTATATACTTGAAGGCACGAGTCAGTGGCGAAAAGGAAATCTGCTAGAATTTCTTTCCGTAGCTATATTATTATTCTGAAAACCAATATGTATTTCTCCTTCTTTGTTTCTTCTCTCCAACACCGTGCAGCTTCTCGGTCGTTGCGCGTTTGTTTGTAAAGAGACATGTTCCAAACCGGGAGGGACTACGAGTTAGGAAATATCCAATTCAACGTACGCAATTAATTAACTGTCTTAATTTAATGGTTTATGCATCTTCTGTGAATGTGTGTTGTAGCTTCGACTTTAATCCCAAAGTCTAAGCATGGCTTCCACGTTCCACGATTCAAGATTCGCAGGTAAAGTTCAGATGAAGCAATTACTTTAGACTTGGGTCTGTCTAATCCAAGATGTAATTATAGTCTTTCTTTCTTTCTTTCTTTATATATATATGTATATATATATATTCCATCAAATAACTAATTCCTTGTTAAAAAATTTCGAAACGGCTGTTAGATTTTAGGAGTGCACCGTTGTTTTGTACAGGGTCATGGTTCTCTTGCTTTTTCTTTTTCCCAGCTAATTACGTAGCTATCACCCAGTCGACCCCTGTTCCAGCCCTGGTGGTGTAGCCTCTAATTAAGTAGTTATCAGGGTAGCCGACTTGATGGTGTAGTTATCAGGGTAGCATACTTGATGGTGTAGCATCTAATTAGAGCATCCACCAGAATTCGATCCTATCACAAAAATAGACAAAAACCCAATAACCCAAATAAGGGTTGAGCCTGAAGTGGGTCCAGATCCTTTTTTTGAACTCAAAAAAAAAATTAAGTAGCTATCACAGTCATCTGAAATTGGCCTACTTATATTACTACTAGATGTTAATGTCAGGTTTGGTCATAGTCATTCATGTGGCATTTCCACGAAATTATCTGCAAGAAGAAGTTTGACCCACAAAAAAAAAAAAAAAAACTAGAAGCAAATATTTTACTAGGTCACCAGAACTCCACAAGACAACCTAACCTTCCAGCTACGGAAGCTGAACTCCACGACTCATAGGATCAGCTGAACTTAAAAAAAAAAATTTTTTTTTTAACCACAGAGGGATGAGACTTGATAACTGAAGAGAAGAGGGGGATAAGCCGAACTCTTAACTTTTGTGCATGCTTCAAACTTCTCCACTAACTTTCCAACCCTTTCCACTAAACCACTTTTCAATATATATATATATATATATATATATATCATGTTGGAAGTTAAAGCGAATTGTTTTGATTACGCAGCGACCTTTTCTTTAATTTCTTTATTCATAATTGCAGATCCAGAATCCAGGGTCGTGTTAGGTCCTTGATTCTATGATTGATTTATCAAATCTTCCGTAGACAGATGTATAGTGGGGTATGCCTCGAAGTATTACATTACTATTATTATTATTATTAAAGTAAATCATACATATATACATTATTAGTTTTTTTTTTTGTCGCCACTTTATTTATATTATCCTATTCTATTCTAATTTAAGGGAATGTTCAATTGAACCTACGAAAAATCGATGGGGATTAAACCACTGTTAGATCAGACAAGTGCACTACGCATCCGTATAAATTTTTTTATAGAAATCACATATTATGACAATTGACAGAAAATAAAATTGAACCCTTGATCTCCTATCCGACCAAGTCTTAAGGACTTGGTGATAGCCATAGGTTGTTGGTTCATGACATGTGTATGTAATGGTGGCCATCCGTATCTATACACTATCAGTTTGATTCATTCATGACATGTATATTCAACTTTTACATAATTATTATTCATTTAGAAAATGATAATGGTTGGACTAACTTTTGAAGTTATAACGCCTGTCCTGTCCTGTCCTCCTCAATTCTTAAGAAGAGTCGTTACAATATTCATTATTATTAATCACACAATGCACCGATACTACAAGCCACGAACCTTGCACACCCAATTCAGCTCCTTTGCTGTTGGCCCTGCCGATACTTTTCCAATTTCACTTCATCAATCATGCCACTCACCTAATTCCTTTCCTCCCTTCCACTTCCCCCACCTTGCACGCCCACAGTGTCTCTCCACTTTTAATTCAACCTCTACCTCTACCTCTACCTTTTTTTTTTTTTTTTTATAACGAAACATATTTTATTAACGGATTGCCGAAAATTATTTCGCACGATTGATATATATCGTTATCCTAAAGGTAGATAACATATGCACTAAAATTATAGATTTGTAATCTAATGGACACAAAAGACTTGAGAAATTAAGAATAGATTTAAAAAAATATCATTAATTTTAAAATCATCTCCTTATAAAATAAATCGCTGCAACCCACTTTGTGCATGTTACAATCGTCAGATTTGCTAATTAATAGTTGTAAATTCCAATAAAAATAATGAAATCTGCCGACATAAACCCAAATCTGAAATAAATTTAGGTCTGACAACTAGATCTGAAGTGAATTCAAATTTAAACAACAAAACAAGGAAAAATAACACAAAACCTCACTAGGAACTATTAGGAGAACAAAAATTCTCACCAGAAGCCCTAAAAGAAACAGAGATCTCCCACTAAGAAAATTGAGGGAGACTTTATTAGAAAAATAACAAAAATAAAATATATGAGAGAGAGAGATCAGGGAGACTATGGTGGTCTCTCTCTTCTCTTGAAGAGGAAGAGGAAGAGGAAGGAATTCAAAGAAAAGGAGTAGCAGAGAAAAGTTTGGAAAAGAGAGACAGTTGGGCTTTATTAAGCCATGATTTCTGCCTCTGCCTTTATTTCTCCTCTACTTCGTGACTTTGTCATATCAGTCTTGCAATCTTTCTCTTCATATATTCCCTTCATCCTCCAGCCCCTAATATTAGCCACTGATGGAATCAAAGTAAACTGGAATACCAACTTTTTTTTTTTAAGTGTACAATTTTTTCATCTGAAAATTGAAAAAAAAATTAACTAAGGAGGACCGCGAAATTAACAGCTATCTTTATTTCTTTTCTCTTTTGTGATAAATTATGCACTATCGAAAGAGTGCTGGTGCTATTCTCAGCAACCTTGGTGTAAGCCAAATATTACCAAACATTTTCCTAATAATATGCATATGGTTGGCATAGTTTCTTTTTGCCATTATTTTCTTCAATAGAAAAGAAGCGATTTGTTTATATATATATATATATATATAATGCGATTCCGTTCCTCATCTCTTTCTCCTCCTTTAATTCTATTACGATTTCACATGTTGATGAGTTCGATCGAACTGAAAATCTTGCAGTCTTAAATTTGTTACTATGTGATTTATTAATTACTAGGTGCGGTATAACATCCTAGTAGCTTCTCTGAAAAAAACTACTAATAGCTTGTTCCTGGTATCCTCTAAAATCAGCAGGCCGAACCGGAAATTTCTCATCTCCTTCCTGGCATTTGCTCTGTATCTTCGTGCTTTGATTAAGTGCATTATTTAATGGCGTAAACTCTTGACATTGCAAGGAAGCTGAAAATGGTAGGGTACGAAAGGATAGTGACTTATGGAATCACCACCACCCTGTGGGGTCCGGGGTCCGTCCCCCATTCCTGATTTTGCCTCACAATTATTATTGCCATTTTTTGAAACTTCATTAAGCAATTTATTAATAATTTATCCCTATTCCTGATTGTCTATTAAGTAATTTATTTACACGGGTGACAGTCCAATGATATTTATCTTTGAATTGCTATTTTTTGAAATTTTTATTCAAAGAAAGAAATATATAATAATAATAATTTGATGTATGTAAATTGAAAAAGTGATTGGCGGAGGGCGACGACGTAATAGTTTTTCTTTCGGAAAAGGTAAAGCTTCAATCTGATTACCGAAAAAAAAATGAAAAATGAAAAACTTCAATTTGAACGGGGCTTCAGAGGTCATTTTATCAGCTTATGCACTCATTCACAGAAACTTCCGCTTGACGGTCATACTATTCTCTCGTATAAATAGTAGTATTAAGACTTGTGCCCGCTTTTCCATACGGTTTTTTCTTCGGTGCCATCTCATCTTTGGAGACGTCAAACAAGTATCCAGATTCAATCACTCAAAAGAAACTGCAAAATCTTTGGTCAAGATTATTGAAGATGGCTGGGATGCTTCCTGGAGTAGAAGTTGCAAGGAGGAGGAGGTTTCATCAAAGTGGAGGATGGCTTGATTCTTCCAGTGCTTCACCATCTGGTCATTGTTCAACTAGAAGGTCTTCTTTTTGTCTATATGTCAGCAACCATGAATCCCCTCTCAGCTCGAGCACATCTATTGTGGTTGGTACCTCCTAAATTTTGGATGTCTGGTTGTATGAATGCATGAGTTCTTGAATATCAGAGCCATATATAACTTCGTAATACATGAAATTGCTTGCAGCCCAGGAGCTCAATAAGCCAGGCATACTGTGATCAGAAGCTGAATGATGCAGCCAGAGAAGCCAAACAAAGGTTGGATGGGAGGCTAAGAGCACAATGGAAATCAGAAACCAAAAGGTATTTTTTTTTTCCAAATTCGGGAAAAGAAATAATCCCAGTCACACATTCATGTGCAAAATGTATTAGTACTAGCTCTTTTTTTGTGTGTGTGTGTGTGTGTGTGTGTGTGGAGGTTGGGGTTGGGGGATTTTCACCGGAATATTGTTTTCCCCTCGTTTCTTAAATTTGTGATCATGTTCAGGGGTCATAGCGGCCGACAAAGATCAAGACAATCGGAAAACAGGCCTACAGAGGTAAGAGAGTTGCAAACAGAGGTGTCGGGGGTAAAGAAAAGCGGATCGAAGAGGTTCAGTTGGGTGAAGTTAAGTTGGAAGTCATCTGAACAGGACGAATGTGCTGTGTGTTTGGAGGAATTCAGGGCAGAGGAGAAGCTAATGCAGTTAGCCTGCGCCCACAGGTTCCATTCAGGATGTTTGGTGCCATGGCTCGAGAACAATGCCCACTGTCCTTGTTGCAGAACGGAAATTGTCCTATAACTAGTGGGAGGGTAGTCAGTCAAAAGGCATGAACTACTATCATTAGTTTTAGCTTCTAGCAGCCCAACTTCTTGATGAAAGTTTGAGGCTGAACAATCACTACTGTAACCTACATAGATTCATTCACTACTGTCGTGCATCTGAACAATACTATCTCTTTTTTTGGTTCTGTATCGTACATCTGAACAAACAATTTAAAGATGCTCTTCCATGTCCTGCATATACTAGGGATGATCATTTGGGACTATGCACCAGCACCCCCGCCCCCTCCCCTCTGTTTTTTATCTTTTGATTTTGATTCATCAGCGTCCGCCAATCCTTAACCTCTTCAATCTTGCTTCCCCTCCTTTTTTTTTTTTTTATTGCCTTTCTTTCTTTCCCTTTATTGTCAAATCAATGTCGCTTGCTTTCAGGAGTGAAAGAGTAAATCATAAATGGGAAAACCAACCTTTCACCTCGGTAGGTTCACTTTCAGTGCAAGAGTCGATCATAAATTTTGTCCCTAAAGCTGTTGATGAATTGATGGGTAGCAGCTGAGGATCGAAACAAGTGAATTGAGTTGCTCCATAGATCACTGTCCGTGATTGATTTTGCGCTGTCATGATAGGAAAATTGAAACAATGTGCATCAGTTCTTGTCTCTGATGGGCCCAAAATTCCTTGTACATATTTCCCCTGAATGAAAGATGACATTCTATCATTGGTTTCTGTCGGTTCATGATGCGCTGTCTCCAATTTCAGCTTCTAGTTTAACAAAATATGAATCAAATGTTTGGTGGGAATAGTTAACAATTGAAGTTTAATCCTAGTTTCACTATTTCGAGGAAAATACAAGTTCTTATCATTAACCAAGCAATTTGGTTCGCCATTATTTGTATGAATTGCTTTACAAATTGCCATTAGAACAGGAACAGGTCACCTACACCTACTAAGGATAAACCATCATCTGTGGATGGTGCTTTTACTTTTCTATTCTCCTTGTGTCGTCTTGTAGTACTAGCTAATTGCAGCCTTTCGAAAACCAAACTCCAAAAAAGAGTTAATTTATTGATTCAAAAAAGATTGTGCTACCTTAGATAGTGGATTCCATCTCACCATTTCCTATATGCATATCTTTTTTTTTTTGTTTCCTGACGGAGTGGGTGTCCGAGTGAATTCTTACGGAACCTGACTAATCCCACTCCGACCAGGAAGGAGAGGCCCCATCCCGAACACGATAATTACAGGATTCGGATCCTTGCGGGCACTGGACACCAGCTCCTAAGGAGGCTTGTTGAGACCAACCGAATTGTCCATGAGGGGCAGACAATTTGGTGGAAGGCAAGGGTTGAACCCCTGACCTCCTATATGCATATCTGATGTTCATTTTTTGCTTAATCGCCCAGAAGTTTAAAATATATATATATATATATATATATATATATATATCCACCCACCCGATTGTTATTATAATCGTGTTTAAAACTAGGAGGAAAATTTGCTATTGGCAAATGCATCTTCTTGATGTTTGTATTTGTTTGATCTTTGAGTTCCAAGGATAACTTTTGGATCCTTGATTTTTTTTTTTTGTTTTACCTTTCATATATAAAAGTTTGAACGAATCGATCACTACTATGAGTTAGCACGAGATTATTTTTAAGCTTTGTTATGTATGTGCTTATTTTTTGCCTTTTCAGTTCAAGAGGGGCTTTGACTTTCACTGCCGCTCTGATGAGTTAAGTCCAAGTTTAATCGCCTTAATGGGAATGGACCTCTCAAGCTTGAGAGCCCAACTTCATTATTGGCCTTTCTGAAATCAGGCCTCTTCGTACCCCAGTGATCGAAAATTTTCAGCGAGTCAACGATGGTATGCAGCCCAATTGATGATGTATAAAACAGATGACCACTGACCTTCTGCGTCGTCGTTTCTCACTAAATTAACGTTTAAAATCCAACGGCTAGTTTATAGAATGACCGTTTAGAAACCAATAATTCAAAGCGCGACCTCCCCATGAAATTCACAAGAAAAAGCATTTCTCTTCAGACATTTGAAAAAAATACGCCCCACAAATTAAATCCCTAAAAATTATAAACAAAATCCTCAGCTCAAGAACAAACATTCAGCCAAAAAATCCGTCACAAATTTCTCTACAAAATCTGCAACAGATAATCATTCCAAAATGGTTTACACATACACTCCTACATATTACAGTTCACTCCAAGATTCAATAGCCTCTTTGTGCAAAAATATCCTTCCATTTTCTTTCAAGAAAAGGCGGTTGCCTGCAATCGCTGCAGCTGAGCAGAGGCTATCAAAGCAGCAGGCTGACAACTTGAAATGGCAGCAAGATTCATTCCACCAGATACTCAAATTAATGGGCCTCTGCAAGGAAGGGATTTTGCCCGAAACAGAGGTCTCTGCTTTTAGATCACATCTATTAGATACCCTTATTGCTTCACCACTTGACCATGAACATTCTGCAATTTTGAGGGATAAATTGCTCTTCTTGCAGGTCAGTTCTTATTGCTGTTTTTCCCCTCTAAATCTTGATAGCTTGATTGAATTGCTACGCTTCTGGTTCTTCTTTTAATGCCCATTTAGATTCATATGGTGATACTTTTGAATCGTTAGAAAGACAGGGATGATTGCTTTTCAAAAATTGGATATCCAAAAACAAATGATGTGAAGCCTGACGATTAGAAAATGGAAAATTAATGCACAATGTACCCCAATAAAAAGTGTTCCTTTATCTTTCTAGGAGCTACTGTATGCAAAATGCATATCCGAGGATGAGTATCATTCGTCGAAGAGGCCTTTGTTACAGAGGTTAGCAGTTCAAGGAGCTGAAATTGAGGCAAGAGATGTAATTGTTGGTGCTCAGAAAGAGAGTTCAGATGAAGAGTGGTCTGTGATAGATTTGAAAGACGAGAAGTGTATTGTTAGCAAAGAAGGCTCAAATTTGAAGAATAAACAAAAGCAAGGTTCAGCGATGAAGCAAATCAAAGGGGCTGTATCTGTAATGGGCTTTGGATCGTCAAATAAAGGTGCAACAACTAAGGAAGATAAGGGTTTAACTGCTCCGGGTGCTGAAAACAGTAGACCAGCTGATAGAAGGTATGAAGTTGGACTTTCTACGGAGAATCCTTTCTGGAATAGTCAGTTCAGGGAGAAAGAAAGCGAAACAAAATCTATTCTCATGTCAGAGAGTTTGCCAAATGAATCCGAAAAAGTTGAGAAGCAAAGTGGAGGTGACAAAGGGAAAAGAAAACCCTTCAGAACTCTGTTTCAGAGAGAGCAAAAAGAGGGACATGTGAGCACTAACGGGGATAACGGCTGTGGTTCTGAGGAAAAAACCAAATCAGGAAAGAAGCAATGGGGATTTGAAGGATTCAAGAAATGGAAGAAAAATGACTCTGATGACGAAACAGCTCCATTGGCACTAAATGAGAAGTCAAATTGTGGAATTTATAATTCACAACTTGTCCAAAGCCCCGTTGGTGAGGGACCAGACACCAAGCAAATTAAGAGGAAGCTGCACCCAGATGGTGCACCTTCAGATTTCTTTGTTGATAAGGTGTAGTATATCGTGTCATTCTTTTCTTGGCCAACGAACTAAGAAAGTCAAAAGGCTCTCTTTGGAGGTTTATTGTTGATGATCTAATTGCTTTTCTGGTTATTTTAGGTTTTGGAAGATAATATAAAAAAGAAGCTGTCGCAAATTCGATCAGAACTTGATGCCAAAAATCATAATGTTCATCTGTCGTAAGCACTTCATTCCTAGTCCTTGATGATGTTTATGCAATGCGCTTCTTCACCTTCAGTTAATCGTATTGTATGGGATGGCGTCTGATAGATTCTTTTATGTGATGATCAGAGATGACCAAATTGAAGCAATTTCTACTAGGCTTCCAGTTGACAAGGCTGATCTAAAACAGTTCTTTCCCAAGTAAGACTCACCTTTTGCATAGTTCTCTTCACACGGTGTTTTTTTTTCCTTTCACATGATGGAAGCTATGACACTCAGAGAAATGAAATAACTTCCAGTAAATTTGGAGGTAAAGATAACTCTGTTTGCAACTTAGGTAATTATGCAAATCGTTGTTCTCTTTTTTGGCTCTTTTAGGTCATGGTGCGATCAGTACGGCGATGTCGTTTTGGATGTGGTGAGGAAGGAATTCAAGGACCATGTTGGACAAGTGAGTGCTGGTAGGGAAAAGCATAGCTCCAAGAGATGGACAACATTTGATGATGATGAAAATTGTCACCCCAATCTCTTTGCTCCAGAGGAGAACTTCTTCCACATGAAGCAAGACAAATCCAATGCTTTGAAGAAGGATCATCTGTATGCTGCTGCTAACAGCAGTATTGAGAAAGGCTTCAAATATAATCCCTTCTTTGATATTTAGGCCTGCTTCAAATTAATAAAAGAGTTACAGTTTGTGATCCTGTTGTGATAATCAACTATGAATAGAATTCTTCATTAAGAAACCTCAACTTGTTGATTGAATGTAGAACTGTCGGTAGTTCTGAATCTGTAATACATGTGACGCAACCAGATCTGTATGATGAAAGTCGAAAATCGCATCTACAGCAGTTGACGCTGTCTATCACTGTCTTGGTAAACCCGCAGCCATGAATACAGATAGATAGCAAATTTTAGTTCTTGATAAGAGGGAGAATTTTAGCTCTGTGTGCCGCAAGGACGGTCATAACTTCTGGCAAAGTTTTCTATAATCTGTCGATACCGATTAGAGTTGAATTCTGCTTGCTACATTTATTGAAAACACGCTTTGCTTCTCTTTGTAGTACGCGCGAACTATTCATGCCAGGCCCTTTCCTAAAAAGAGACATCTATTCCCTATACTTGACAAAAATTAACTCCTAAAGAAGACCTAGAAGGATTTGTTTATGAATTTAACTGAAATATATAAGAAATTTGCCTTGAATCAAAGCAATGGTCCAATAAATTTTAAGTGAGGTACATATTTCTCGAAAGGCTACATGCAACAACAGCTCAAGAACAAAATTGGCTTATGTACATGTGTACATAGAAAACCTCTCAAAAAGAAGGAACTCCAGAGGTTGAAATGGCACCTCCTGTCAAGCTTAAACCCTCACGAACATCTCGTCGACAGAGGGGGCATACGCTGGAGTGTTAGAGTAGAAACAATGCTGAGTAAACGCAAGTAATACAGAGCTAAGTTGAAACAGAAAAAGAAATGAATGGAAGATTTTGCAGGAAAGCTGATGGTACGTACCCATGTATTTCTTTGAGCCATTTATCAACACAGGCCACATGATACTCATGGTGGCAAGGGAGAATTCTTATTCTGTCCCCCTCTTCGTACTCTGCCAAGCAAATATAACACCTAGACAAAACAGGATTGGGTATCAGCATGTAAAGTACCAGCTAAGAGGACAGCATGGCCTACATGGAACAATTAAAAAATCTGTAAACATACAATAAACTTTATGCTATGGTATGTGTAGCCACTAACTGCAATAGTTAACTAAATATCTAGGCATTAACCACTTTCAGAAAACAGTTCTGTTTGCAGAAGCCCAAAGTGAAAGATACAAAGAAGGCTATGCTACAAAAAATCCATGTTAATTTATCCCGCTCTAGTTGGAAATTAAGTAGCTTTTACTTCAGCATACAAGGAAAGAGTTATTTAGCAGGACAAAATGCAAAGTTTCTGGTTTGAACATCATTTGCTCGGACTTTAGTGGGGGAATTGCCAGAGAGAAGACAAGATTTTCTACCTTCTCAAAACTTTCTTTATGCAATAAAGTTATCCATTACTGTCCTTCCATATTCCCATCAGCAAACCTCTAGTGTGCAAACTCCAACATCAAAGTAAACATGCATAAAATAGTCAGGGAAACTTACTGTATAACATCATCTCCACTTTCCAGTCTTTCTGGCTTCCTATGAATCTTCACAGGTAGAGAGTCAACAACTGTCTCTGGAGCTGGAACTGAGACCACAGACAAGGGTAGTGACATGGGTTGTCTATGTATTTCATCTAGTACCTGGATATTTCAAAATAAAATGACAAGTCATTAGCAACTTCTAGGAGATAGCCCTTCCCTTGCTAGGAAAAATTCTTAAAAAAAATTCTAGGAGATGGTAAGATATGAGCATGTTGAACTATAAAGAAATAAAACAAAGTTATTTCTGTGCCTGTGATCAATGAAACTTTTTCAAGTAAAGTCATGGAATATCAGCAAAATTTGTTTTAGAACTACACTAAGAAAAGCACTGAGTCTCCATAAAACATTTTTAAGAGCCCTCAATTCTTGAAAGAGTACGTCCCAATACTACAGCAATACCTTGGTTAACTTGTTTCTTATTCCATATTTATCAGGTTGTTCTTGGCCTAAAATTCATTAACTTAACTACAGCCTACAGCCTAAGATCTAATTCTATGACTTGGTACATATTTCACTCTCCATGAGTCTGGTGCCAAGGTAATGTCAGGAAATATACCATCCTTCTGTTACAGCTAAATCTTTTACAGCATCCTAATTGAAATTTGTCAATTCCAGTGACCTGCAGAGGTATGGTAATTCTTTAAAAGACATAGCATACTTTTCAAAAAACAAAAGGACCTATTCAACTCCCAAAACATGCATTCAGCACAATAAGCACAACCAAAATTAGTGGCAAATTAATGGAAAGGAATTTCAGGAACTTGACTTAAATTCTTGACAGTTAACTTGGATAACTCAAAATCCGCCGCCCGGGGGGGGAACCAGCCCAAGATGAAAGGGTAAATTACCTCAAACAATGCTTCAGCAAGCATGACTATTCGTGAAATGCTTGCACGAGCACCAGACTCCTCAGCCCTTAACATCAAACCACATGAGCATGCACCATCAGGGTGAATTCCAGCTGGACAGGTGGCTGCCCGTCGATCAGTCCCACTTCGACCAACATCGTGAAATCGTTCCCATATCTGCTAGGGAATAATGGTGCTTGATAAAGTAAGATTTAACCATGCAGATGGGATACCACTAGTAAATTAACAGTGAAGTCAAGACATGCAGTCAAAATCTAACTTAGATTCTAGATCAGTTTTAACGCTGAGGACTGCAGAGGCCCCGTACTGGGCCTAGACACGTGGCAGCCCAGGTAAAGCCGAGCTGGGCTCCGGCCCCAGGCTCCTGGCGACCGCCCTGGGCCGCACCCCCGCTAGGGCTCCAGGGGGATCAGGAGACCGTCCCGCAGAGGTCGGAGGAGATCCCGCTCGGCGCGGGATTGAGATTATATCAGGAAGGTCTCGGAACGTACGGAGGTCGGACTCTGACCCAAGTATAAATAGTGCTACACACCCATTGCCCAAGGTACGCTCACTATAGGCAAATTACTCCCGGTTGTTACGACCTCCCGTGAACTCTATTCACCGAAAAACTAACTTGACCGTCGGAGTGCCCTCGGGGACCACCCTCGGGCCCCCTCGGTTAGCTCATCCTTTCTGTTTTGCAGGCTTGGAGTCAGCTCTGCCATCAGCGACCCGAGCTGATCAGGTCAGCTCTCCTAGGGGAAGTTCCGTGCTTCTTCAGTTGGCGCCGTCTGTGGGAACCGTAAGGTAAGTAAGATTGTGCTGATGGCCAGGACGCGATCCAAGCGCACGGTAGAAAGCACCGGTCCGGGGGGCGGTGAAGGATCCCAGCGAAAGGAAATTGAGGCTTCTCGGGGCGCCGGGGGCTCAGCCCTTTCAGGAGAAAGGAGGCAGCAGATCCTCCAATTCGTGACGGAGAACCTCCCTATGCTGGAAGATATCATCCGGCAGGCAAAGGAGGGGGAGGAGGCTGGAGGCGCGCAGACCTCCAAGGCGAAGGGGAAGGAGAAGGAGCCACTTCCCGAACCCTCGGAGGATGAGTCGCGCGACCAACCCCCCGGGAGGAAACGGCCACGGACGCCGCCTCGCCCGCGAACCTCGGAAGTCGGAGACAACGAAAGGTACTCCCGACACAGGTCCACGGGGAGCAAGCCGAGGGGTCCCTCGCCGGCGAGGCCTGCAAGGAACGGTCTCGTGCGCTCTCCAGACAGGTCTGCCAGGAGCCGACCTCGCGACCACCTGCATTCGGACCCTGCCCGGAATGAGTTTGAGCGGATCCTGAGGCCCCGGCAGTACGAGGGCAACTACGCAACCTCGCCTTTTACCCGGAAAATAGAGGACTACCCTCTACCCCGGAGGTTTAAGATTCCGAGCATTGAGATGTACGATGCCTCCACAGGTCCAGAAGACCACCTTTCGATCTTCCTGACGCATATGCGCCTGCAAACCGCCGCGGATGAGATCCGCTGCAAGACCTTCCCTATGTTCCTAAAGGGGAAGGCGCGGCTCTGGTTCCAGGGACTGAAATCGGGGTCTATACGGAGCTTTCCCGAGCTGGCCCGGCAGTTTGCAGCCCAGTTCGTCTCCTCGAAGGTCTACGCGAGGAACGCAACCCACCTGATGTCCATCAGGCAAAGGCCCGACGAGTCACTGAGGAATTTCATGACCCGCTTCAATGCGGAGAGCTTGCAGGTCAGGGACAAGGACGAAAAGGTGGTGATGGCCGCCTTCACAAACGGGGTCAGGGTAGAGGAGCTTTTCTACGACCTGGCCAAGAAGCCTCCCGTAAACCTGGAGGAGCTCCTTCGCAGGGCGCACGCGGCTGTCAACGCAGAGGAGGCAGCCCGCCTGAAGAAAGAGTCAGATCGGGGGCTCGGAGAGCGGAGAGAACGGAAAAACCCCCCATGAGGTCCGCAAACGGCTTTAAATTGCGAAATTTGAGAGTGCGATGCTCGACCCCAAGAGGTCGGCACGCCTGTTAAAGACGGGAGGCTTGACGCTCAACCCAAGAGGTCGGCACGATTGCCCTGAGAATGTAATGCTCGACCCAGGAGGTCGGCATGACTGCCTGAAAAATGTGATGCTCGACCCCAAGAGGTCGGCACGTCTGCTAAAATCAGGGAGCTCAACGCTCGACCCAGGAGGTCGGCATAACTGCCTTGAAAATGTGATGCTCGACCCCAAGAGGTTGGCATATCCGCTAAAATCAGAGTTCGACGCTCGACCCGGGAGGTCGGCGTGACCGCCTTCAAAGCATGATGCTCGGCCCAAGAGGTCGGCACGATTGCCCTGAGAATGTAATGCTCGACCCAGGAGGTCGGCATGACTGCCTGGAAAATGTGATACTCGACCCCAAGAGGTCGGCACCTCTGCTAAAATCAGGGAGTTCAACGCTCGACCCAGGAGGTCGGCATAACTGCCTTGGAAATGTGATGCTCGACCCCAAGAGATTGGCATATCCGCTAAAATCAGAGTTCGACGCTCGACCCGGGAGGTCGGCGTGACTGCATTCAAAGTATGATGCTCGGCCACAAGAGGTCGGCACGGCTTGAAATTTTGAAGTCGGAAAGTGCGATGTTCGGCCCCAAGAGGTCGGCACGTTGTGCCTTAACTTGAATGGGTTTGTTTGACCCAAGAGGTCGGCAAGGCTCAAAACTTTAAAAAGTCGGGGGCTTAAACCATGTCAGTGGCAATTTGATGCTCGGTCCCATGAGGTCGGCACGCATTGATCAAGTTTGTCGAAACTTGGGAGTTTGACGCTCGACCCAGGAGATCGGCGCGATTTTCTCAGTGACAGCACTGTACCAGAGGTGACCAGGGCAGAGCAGTGCGCGACGCTGGTCTCCCACGTGGCAGAGTATAGATTAGGTCTGCCTGGAAGTCTTACCTAATCTAGGGGGCTAGTGCAGAGGCCCCGTACTGGGCCTAGACACGTGGCAGCCCAGGTAAAGCCGAGCTGGGCTCCGGCCCCAGGCTCCTGGCGACCGCCCTGGGCCGCACCCCCGCTAGGGCTCCAGGGGGATCAGGAGACCGTCCCGCAGAGGTCGGAGGAGATCCCGCTCGGCGCGGGATTGAGATTATATCAGGAAGGTCTCGAAACGTACGGAGGTCGGACTCTGACCCAGGTATAAATAGTGCTACACACCCATTGCCCAAGGTACGCTCACTATAGGCAAATTACTCCCGGTTGTTACGACCTCCCGTGAACTCTACTCACCGGAAAACTAACTTGACCGTCGGAGTGCCCTCGGGGACCACCCTCGGGCCCCCTCGGTTAGCTCATCCTTTCTGTTTTGCAGGCTTGGAGTCAGCTCTGCCATCAGCGACCCGAGCTGATCAGGTCAGCTCTCCTAGGGGAAGTTCCGTGCTTCTTCAGAGACCATTCAGTGTCTCATTTTAAATGTTCTACATTTTTTTGTAATTGTTTGTGGTAGAGCTATGGAGACATATGACTTCAGATCCGGTTGCACATTTTTTTGTTGGACTTCTTGGTCATCCCTGAGGCAGGCTCTACGACTCTACTCAGAGAACTCTCTTTTGGGTTCGGAGACTCCACACCTCAGGATTTAACTTTTGCAACGCTAGTTCTTGTAGTCTTGGACACTTCAATTGGGGGGAAGATCAGAATACGGGCTTCATGGGTTCACGCAAAGCATTTTTAACAATGAATTCTGAAAATGTATTTGGACGTCATCGGTTTCTCTCTCTCTTTTTTTTACGGCAACGATAATATTTTTATAATAATCTATTTGATCCTACAAGGAGGGAGGTCTAAAGAGATTGTAGAATGAAAAAGCGCTGAGCTTCCCCGGACCGAGCTGAATTGAGGAGCTCGGTATGGCGATGGAAGAGCTGGTTCCAAACCTGCAAAATAAACAAGGATGAGCCGGCAAGGGGGCCCGAGGGTTGTCCCCGAGGGTACTGCGACGGTCAAGTTAGCTTTCCGGTGAATAGGGTTCACGGGAAGTAGAGACAACCGGGAGTAATCTGCCAATAGTGAGCGTACCTTGTACAGTTGATGTGTGCTATCATTTATACCTGCGAGGAAGTTCGACCTCCGTACGTTTCGGGACCTGCCCAGAATAGCCCACATCCCGCACCCAGTGGGATTCCCCCCGACCTCTGCGGGATGGCCCCCCAGGTCCTCCGGGAACCCTAGCATCAGCGCGGCCCAGGGCGGCTGCCTGGGACCGAGGCCCAGCTCGGCCACGTCTGGGCTGCCACGTGTCTAGGCCCAGGATGGGGCCTCTGCATAGAACAATAACATTCTTATACTAATAATCTATCCTATCTTACAAAGAGGGAGGCCTAAAGAAATATAAAGGGTAAATAGATACGCAGATCCAACTAAATCAAAGAGGTATTTTGACATCTCTTTTGAATATTTTTTTTCTCTGTAAGTAGTGAGATTCAAAACCCCAATTTATAACCCAAATCCCTGTAAGTGGAATTTTTTTTTTTCTCTATAAGTGGTGGGGTTCGAAGTCCCTAATCCCTTTTAAGTTGCCATGTTGCAAAAAAAGGGGCCACTAAACTAAACCCCAGTGGTTCGTCGTAGGTTTCTCTTACGTTGCAATGCCGCAAAAAGCATTGTCACGAAGAATTAAGTGGGAAAGAAATTTACGTAGCTGGCAGCATCTGAATCTGTCAATTTTCGGAGCTTGTTAAAGCAAATTTGCCGTGCGATTGACAATTTGACAGGCACGAGGCATAAAGGAGGAGCGAGTCGCTCCAAAGGCTGCGCTACAACAAGTCTCCTGGACATCAGCATGGAATACAAATCAATTCCCATCGCTGTCGGTGCCAATCGATTGAGACGAATATCGCCAGAAGTGGAAGTTAGAGGAGTGTGGATCATCTCTTTTCACACAGAAAGTGGAGTGTCGATGCATTCAATGATAGAAACTCGGCAATATTTCCTCATCACAACTCAAATTTTGATTCATTTCGTTTATAATGCTTGTTCGAAGATAACTCGATCTAACCAAAAAAAAAAAAAAGGAAAATTTTTTTTTTTTGATCTATCCAACATGTACAGACGCACGTACTTTGAAATTTATGTGCACGCAAAGAAAAAACTTTGTGCGAATCTGCCAAATGTATAACATTATTTTTTGTCTCATAAACTTTGTGAGATTATACATTCCTAATTGTGCATATGAAAAAGTTTTACAACGAATATTTGTACAAGATGGATCCTAATATATCCGAGT